AAATTCGCGTGTTCGCTACGAGACCACCGCTGCTGCTGCTGCGGTCGTGCGAAGCTCCTGCTGTCGTCCGTCGGTTCGAGCCCCCGCCCTCGCAGCCTGCGCCTCATTTGCAGTTTTAAATGAATCTAAAAGCCACCGTCCGAAGACACAGCGGGGACATGCGCGTTGCCAAGCGGCGGGGGAGAACGTCAGCTGTTTTTGGTCATGTTTTGTCGGTCGGTGGAAAGAGCACGAGGCTGAACACTGCTGGGGCTGTCTCGCGCTATTGGCGAGTGATATCTGCAAATCGATCTTGGGCAAACACCTTTCAGCCCGCATTGACCACCGTGGTGAAGTATGGTCGAGCAGCTTCCGTAGCCTACGCTGGATACAAGCGAACGATGGTTGTCGCGAAACAAAAAACACCAAAATCGCTTCTCTTGAGTAAACGCCTGGAAAACACAATTTTCACTTGCAGACTCAAAACACGTGGACTCGGCATGGCATTTACGATGTGGAGTGGGGCTTCGGTGGGTAGCACAGAAGCAGAACATTCACGCCTCCCGAGACTCGCTCGTCCCAACCTTAGTTTCGGCGGCGTGCTGGCCGTAACACCTTGGCACATAACCCCAGGGGGTGACAGGTCGACAGGTATAAACTCGATTTGGAGCTTTCGTGACTGCAGGAATTACTCTTTGGTTCTTTCGGTAAAGTCACGTAAAACACAAACGTGTTGCACTACCACCTAGCTTGGTCTTGTTTTGAGTTATTTTCCCAAGGGTGGGGGAGGGGGGGGTAGCCCCGTGGCTCAGTCTCCGTGCCATCGCATTCTGCTCTTTTCCCCTCTCGAATCCCGGAAAGCCTCCACCACGTTCCGCACGATCGATCGTTTGTTCCTGAGCCGCCGCTCAGGGACTCGTTATTTAGTTTTGCCGTTACTGCGTTCAATCGGCAAATCACTTTGCCGACGACGCAAATCATTTACAATCCGGCGACGTGATGGGCAATGGCTCTGTTTTGTTTTGTCGGAGCATAGCGGCACAATAATACATACATAAATAATTCGAATTTATAATGAGGCATTCCATCCCAGGATCCCAAAACGCAGTGCATGAAAAGCAGGAAACAAAAACAGAACCCAGGGGGCCAACCGACTAAAGAGGGAAAGGCCACTTTAAAGCGATGGGGTTTCAAAGCAAACTTGAATACACCTACCGACTCCGATTTGCCTGATTTCAAGTGGCAAGGCGTTCCTAACATAGCTTGTGGGGTGCCACGCTCACAAAAGCACCGATCACCAAAGAGAGCGTACCCTGGACATGGGAGTGCTGAGCAGTTGGAGATCAGAAATACATACACGTATATAAATGTATCAGTTCCTGCTAGTAGTGTTGGGGTGAGCCCTTTCAAAGCCGTAGATTGTAAATGTTGTGGCTTGGCTCTCCAACACACCGGCGTGCTGTACTAGTGACGAATTGGCCACGTTCTGTTGACGTGACAACCCTTACTAGTTGGCTGTGTCGGGTGGTGGCGGGTTTTAACGACGCATATTTACGCGATCTAACCCCCCCCAAAAAAACTCTTATGGATACCGATCGCGAAAGTCTACGTGTTAAACTAATAGCGTTATCGTAAAGTCCACTGGGAATTTGTCCGGTAGCCAGCTGAAGAGATACGACGACTTGTGTAAAGTGTTCTCACTCCAGCAGCTGCATTCCGAGAGGATAACCAACCTCATTATTAAGTTGGCGATCGCGGCCTCGCACTGTGGGCTCTGAGAAAACGTGGAGTTGGTTTTAAGAAAGTGTACACGTCTCAACAATGTCGCGTTCGCATGCCAACAGTTGTTTTCAAATCTGTACTCGGTATTAGGACCACTCGGACCCTGTTCAGGAGTGGGCCCCGAGGCTATGGAGTTCACTTCCCACCCGAACTTTATTCCTCCCAGTGGGCTTATTCAATCCAGCTTCAATGCACTCGTTATTAAAAGCCTGTCTCACTTCCTTTATACGTCTATTTTTTTAACCTTGCGTTTTCATTTGATTTTATTTGGCGGTGTGTTCTTTTCACCAGTCTGCATGCTTTTATTTTGGGCTTTTTGGTAATTCATTTGTTTCCTTAAATGTTTTGTTTTTAGCTCTTGTCAACATTTTGTTACCTCCGGATGAAAGGCGTATTACAGTGTTTCCATCAAGGCCATAGCCATGGAGTCAACATTGGGGGGGACCACATCTTCCAGGGGGTCTGGGGGTCCCCCCCCCCCCCAGAAAAAAAATCTAAAACTAATTTATTGCCTAAAATATAAAAAAAATTCACTAACACATAGGATGGACTTTTCCTTTATTTTTTACAACAATGTCTAATAGTGTATTGTATTACATTGCTCTGTTTTTACTTTTTTACCTTTTCTTGTTTCAACCATAACCACAATCATATAAACAGAAATATATGCATTGTTATATGAAGACAAGTCCTGGCAAGGTTTAGAAAATTCTTTTTTTATTTACATAGCATCGCAATTATTATTTTACAAAAATATTTTTTATAACAATATATTTTAAGCATATTTGATTATATATTATAATTACGGCCTTGGTTTCCATTCTTTCCGGGACTTGCATTCGCATGTGTGGTTTTGAGCCGATTTCAGAATTACGAACCACGACAAGGACGGTTTATGGTTACGAAAAATGTCTCCTTACGCTCAAGATGCGTACAATCACTCGTTTCGACGTTGCTTTTATGTTTAAAGGAGGGGGGGCACCGACTACAGATATCAGTGCCCCCACCACCTCTCCCCACCACCTCCCCCCACCACCTTTCCCCCACCTGGCCATCGCAAACGATAGCGGCTCAACACAGTGACTTAGAGTCTTCGTGAAGGACATGTATAAGCACTGGCCAGATACTCTTAAACGCGTGATGTTGACTCTAAATGAGAAAGAGAAGCCAACCGGAGGACCCGGAGAGAGACACCGCAAACTCCAAATATACAGCAGCAGAGGGCGTCTGGGTCGGGGTCGAACCCACCACCTCCTGTATACCAGGCGAGGTAGTTAACATCTCGCCACGGAGAGAGAGAGACACGCAAACTCCAAATATACAGCAGCAGGCGTCTGGTGCGGGATCGAACCCACCACCGCGTGTTAATCACACGTGGAAGGCTGCCATTTAAAGCTTTACACACAACGGCGAGGGAATCGATCCAAAATGGATTACGCGTCAAAAATAAATCGATTCCTTCACGTGAGCGAGCCGGTTCATCGCGCGTCACAATCGATTCACCTTCGAGATTCCAGAGCATCGTAATCGAATGCGGCCAGCTGGTTACCGTATTGATGCTAAACGAGGGCGCATCTTTGGTGTCGCGATTTGAATGACTATCGCGCGTGGCAGATGCACATACCGTGTCAACCCACACACGGATTTACAGGGAATACGGGCACACACAAAAAAATGCGTCTTGTTTGTGTTTCTCGCTTGTGATGGGACTTAGGATGAACTGTGGGATGAACGTTGAGATTTATAAGGGGCCACGTGGTGACCAATAGGGTCTGAATTGGTCTTGTAATAAGGTGGGACATTGATGTGCGGTTGACGGGTGTGCAGATGCGATATGCATTGCGTCGTCTGCGTAGGAACACACCCTAATTGATACAATTAAGTGACGATGAGCAGCTAAGACGTTTGCGCGCAGGTTAGGGAGTGGCGAGTGTTGGGTGAGATGGGTTGGGTCGTATTTTGTGTGTGTGTCTAGGTCGACTCAGCCTCAAATGATAAACTGGTGCGGTGTGTAGTAAGCATCGCCACTGGGGAGACAAAGGCGGCCGCGCGTGGCGCTGGCCACCCACCCCCCTCGTGTGCCGTGCCAGCCTTCATAGGCGCGACTCGCTAACAGCACTTGCCCCAACAGTCTGTTGAGACTACACGGGGGATCTTTGTCTTTGTTTGGGTAGTGTAGCGGTCAGCGCGCTGCGCTACGAACCCATCAACCCGAGTTCGATTTCCCGCTCACGGCCAACACCGGTGACAATTATTTGAACCGGTCGTGGGCCTCCCCTAGGTAGACTCAGCCTCAAATGAGTACCTGGTACGGTGTGTAGTAAACATCGCCACTGGGGAGACAAAGGCGGCCGGGCGTGTCGCTGGCCATCCACCCCCCTCGTGTGCCACAGTGCCGGCCTTCATAGGCGCTACTCGCTAACAGCACTTACCCCTATAGTGTGTTGAGGCTACACGGGGGATCTTTGTCTTTGAGGATGAGTGTACCGTGTGCGTGAAGTCTGTGCGTGCAAGTGTGGTCATTTTGTACGCGTGTGCGCGCCTTTGTCAAAGTGTTTGCCTACCCCGATGCGCATCGTTTCGCGTATTTACGGGAAGTGGAAAGGGGGGAACGCGGAACTGGAGGCCGCGGTTCGAAAACTAGAACCGAGATAAGAGACGGTTCGGAACGGCACCAGGAGTTTGTTTGGAACAGGGCTAAGGCTGAACCGGTTCAGGTACCGAGCCCGAAATCGGTTCGGAGCGGAACGAACACGTGGCGCGGTGCTCGTGAACGGCAGCGAATATCGGAGCAGGGCGCTCTTTGGTTCAAAAACCACTTTGGTCGGTGGGGTGGGGCAGTATCGGAACAGGAGCCGAAGGAGAATCCCGTTGAGAACAGCGCGAGGAACAGAACAGTGGCCGGCGGAGGAGTGGGGGGGGGGGTGTGAGTGGGGGGGGGGGGGGGTGTGAGTGGTGGGGAGGTGAGTGGCGGGGTGGGGGGAGGTGAGTGGTGGGGAGGTGAGTGGCGGGGTGGGGGGAGGTGAGTGGAGGTGGGGGGGGGGCAGGACGTGACCGTGAGAGAATCGGAAGGAGTCTCCGGACACTGAAACTTGGGGCACAGAAGACGTCTGAGCACCGTGAGGAAGCAGACGCGACGAGGGGGAGGGAGAGGGGGGGGAGAGGGAGGGAGAGAGAGGGAGGGAGAGGGGGAGGGAGAGAGAGGGAGGGAGAGGGGCAGGGAGAGGGGGAGAGGGAGGGAGAGAGAGGGAGGGAGGCACCAGAAGTCGTCGTCGATTCCAGTGGAGGCGGAGGCGCAGCGCGCGCACCCCGCACCCACCATGGAGCACGACCACAGCGGAGCCACCAGCACCCTGGAGCACTGCGCAGCAGGTACACACACACAGGTACACACACACAGGTACACACACACAGGTACACACACACAGGTACACACACACAGGTACACACACACAGGTACACACACACAGGTACACACACACACAGATACACACACACAGGTACACACACACAGGTACACACACACAGGTACACACACACACAGGTACACACACAGACAGGTACACACACAGGTACACACACACAGGTACACACACACAGGTACACACACACACAGACAAGTACACACACACAGATACACACAGGTACACACACACAGGTACACACACAGGTACACACACACACAGGTACACACACACAGGTACACACACACAGGTACACACACACAGGTACACACAGGTACACACACACAGGTACACACACACAGGTACACACACACAGGTACACACAGGTACACACACACAGGTACACACAAACAGGTACACACACACAGGTACACACACACACAGGTACACACACAGGTACACACACACAGGTACACACACACAGGTACACACACACAGGTACACACACACAGATACACACAGGTACACACACACAGGTACACACACACAGACACACACACAGGTACACACACAGGTACACACACACACAGGTACACACACAGGTACACACACAGGTACACACACACACACAGGTACACACACAGGTACACACACAGGTACACACACACAGGTACACACAGGTACACACACAAAGGTACACACACAAAGGTACACACACAGATACACGGGAACACACACACAGGTACACACACACAGGTACACACACAGATACACACAGGTACACACACAGGTACACACACACATAGACACAGACACACATACAGGTACACACACAGGTACACACACAGGTACACACACACAGATACACACAGGTACACACACACAGGTACACACACACACAGGTACACACACACAGATACACACAGGTACACACACACAGACACACACACAGACACACACACAGGTACACACAGGTACACACACAGGTACACACACAGGTACACACACAGGTACACACAGGTACACACACAGGTACACACACACAGGTACACACAGGTACACACACAAAGGTACACACACAGATACACGGGAACACACACACAGGTACACACACACAGGTACATACACAGATACACACAGGTACACACACAGGTACACACACACATAGACACAGACACACATACAGGTACACACACAGGTACACACAGGTACACACACAGGTACACACACAGATACACACAGATACACACACACAGGTACACACACAGGTACACACAACAACAACCGCCATTCGCCACTAAGTGACGGTGACGTCACCACGACGCTTGTGCCAGGCCATGTGCACCTTGAGGCCACGTGAAAGTGTCGAACGCCCGCTGGCAGGAGGTCACGGGGCAGACCCAGGTGCCACGGGTCGACTGACTGAGATGACTGAGATGACTGGCTGATGCACCACCTGTGCCCCCGACTGTGCCAACCTGCTGTGCTTTAGCCACCCGGCGCTCCGCTCGTTGTTGTGAGCGTCGCTCCTCCGCCCTCCGTTGTTGTTGGAGGGCGACTGCCTCCAACTGCTCAGTAGCGTCCTTCACGAGCCTCCTCCACAGAGGCCGATCTTGACACCGATGGTACCTGTCATCGGCAAGTACACTCAGCTCCACGTCCTCCTGTACCACATCACTCCATCTCTTCTCTAGCCCGTGCCGCGCCCGTTTAGCCCCCTCGATTCGGCCGAACAAAAGCTGTTTCGGCATGCGGTGGCTGGGTATGCGGGCTACATGACGCAGCCAACGCAGCCTTGCCTGCCGAAGGAGCTCACCGATGGGACTTTGCCCAGATCTTTCAAGGATTTGTGAGCTCCTCACACAATCCAGCCTGGTCAAACCCAGGATGGATCAAAGGCAGGCTAGCCTACACACACACAGGTACACACACAGGGATGTAGTGTGAGTCTGTGAGTAGTGTTAGTCTGTGGGCAGTGTTGAGTCTGTGGGCAGTGTCGAGTCTGTGGGCAGTATTGAGTATATGGGCAGTGTTGAGTCTATGGGCAGTGTTGAGTCTATGGGCAGTGTTGAGTCTATGGGCAGTGTTGAGTCTATGGGTAGTGTTGAGTCTATGGGTAGTGGTAGTCTTTGGGTCGTATGTATGTATGTTGAACTTCTTTCGCACCTTACGTAGCCAACTGCGCTAATTGGAGGTGCGAGGGGGAAGGACAACAAACTAAACACTAAAAGCAGTTCGAAAGGAATGAGATTTCAGTCTAGATGATGATTTTAAAGTGCACAGCTCCAGTGGCTTACTAATATCGGAGGAGCATTCCAGACGGCCGCAGAAGTGCATCTTGAAGATTGCGGTGACCACCGTCTTTGTTCGATGGCTTAGGCAACAAGCCGCTGCTGCGACAATGACCGGAGTGTCACGTGATGGTGGTTTATGCCCCTTGACAAGATTGGCGAGATATTGTGGCTCATTTGTGTACAAGCGACAACGGATTCGTTCGCGCGCCACGTAGCCAGAGAGAGAACGTTGTACAAGGACTCTTCTACTTACGAACTTTCAGAGATATGAACAAACCTGGTCCGTACGTCCAGTTGCCTGTTCGGACCGAGAGTCGTAAGTTAAATCGCCACGCAATAGATGGCGGTGGTGGCATCTACATCTACAGAACGTGAAGAACCAGTGGCATCTACATCTACGGAACCTGAAGAACCAGTGGCATCTACATCTGCTGAACATGAAGAACCAGTGGCATCTACATCTACAGAACGTGAAGAACCAGTGGCATCTACATCTATACAACATGAAGAACCAGTGGCATCTACATCTGCAGAACGTGAAGAACCAGTGGCGTTTACATCTACGGAACGTGAAGAACCAGTGGCATCTACATCTGCAGAACGTGAAGGTCCAGTGGCATCTCCATCTGCAGAACGTGAAGAACCAGTGGCATCTTTATCTGCAGAACATGAAGAACCAGTGGCATCTACATCTACAGAACGTGAAGAACCAGTGGCATCTACATCTACGGAACGTGAAGAACCAGTGGCATCTCCATCTGCAGAACGTGAAGAACCAGTGGCATCTGCAGAACGTGAAGAACCAGTGGCATCTACATCTGCAGAACGTGAAGAATCAGTAGCATCTACATCTGCAGAACGTGAAGAACCAGTGACATCTCCATCTGCAGAACGTGAAGAACCAGTGGCATCTACATCTGCAGAACATGAAGAATCAGTAGTATCTACATCTGCAGAACATGAAGAACCAGTGATATCTCCATCTGCAGAACGTGAAGAACCAGTGACATCTCCATCTGCAGAACGTGAAGAACCAGTTGCATCTACATCTGCAGAACGTGAAGAACCAGTGGCATCTACATATACGGAACGTGAAGAACCAGTGCATCTACATCTGCAGAACGTGAAGAACCAGTGGCATCTACGTCTGCAGAACATAAAGAACCAGTGGCATCTCCATCTGCAGAACGTGAAGAACCAGTGACATCTACATCTGCAGAACATGAAGAACCAGTGACATCTCCATCTGCAGAACGTGAAGAACCAGTGACATCTCCATCTGCAGAACGTGAAGAACCAGTGGCATCTACATCTGCAGAACGTGAAGAACCAGTGGCATCTACATCTACGGAACGTGAAGAACCAGTGCATCTGCAGAACGTGAAGAACCAGTGGCATCTACGTCTGCAGAACATAAAGAACCAGTGGCATCTCCATCTGCAGAACGTGAAGAACCAGTGACATCTACATCTGCAGGACACAGCCTCCACTAATCGACTCAGCCTCCACTAATCGACTGGACACGGCGTGTGAATAAGAGCTTTACTCGGAACTCTGTGGGCGTGGGTCACACCGCCGGCCTCTCTGGAAATTTGGCTTGAGTCGGTCACGGAGAGCCGGAGGTGGAGACGTTGCGAGCCGATTGCTAGCGGCGGCGGCGGAGATGATGAGTCACGGGGCCCCAAGGAGGTCTGGGGTTTTCAGGCTTATCACTCGGGTCAAGCTACAGCGGGGAAGGGTTGGGGGGAGGCGGCGGTGGGGGGGGGGGTTATAGGGTTTAGTGCTATGGGTTCAACGCTTTTTTTGGCTAAGTGATGTTTCGGCATCGTGTTTTAGGGGTTATAGGTTACGGATAAGACGAGGCTTAGTAGGGAAAATTGGTGAGGCATTGCGGTCAGAGTCTCGGGTCAAGGCGACGGGGTAACGTTTTGGGTTCTTGGCTTTGCACTCGGGTCAGACTCGGACTTGAGCTTAGGGTTATGGCTCGAGTTATGCTCTTGGACTAGGGTGTAGGACTTTGCTTAATGCGCCAGGGCTAAGTACTCTGGCTGTTGGCTAGAGTAATGGGCTCAGAGTATGGTAATAGCCTGCAGTAAATGGGCTGTTATTAGGAAGCCACCGGGGGCTTTGTGATTTTAAATCTACTTTGAAAACTCATTTCTTTATAACTGCTTTTTCGTCTTTAGTTTATCGTCCTTCCCCCCTCCACCCAGCACCTCCGATTCGCACAAGTGGCTACGTACCGTGCGAAAGAAGTTCAACTTACACGCGCGCATTACATTCGGGCTGGCCATGGCAATGGTGGTGGAAGCAGCAGCAGCAGTGGAAATCGTGCGCGGTCTACGCTGCGGGGTTTCTGGTTTCTTGGAAAAAAAGCGGTTAGAGAGCCAGGAAGAGGGAGAGAGAGAGACATGCGTACCCACACATGTACGTGTGTGTGTGTGTACACGTGTGTGTACACGTGTGTGTGTGTGTACACGTGTGTGTGTGTGCACGCGCTGCACGTGTGCGCACGCGCGCGTGTACGTACGCGATGCAAAGACGTGAGCGTCTCTTTCTCGAAATTTATAATGGCCATGTCACACACTAAGCCAGCGCACTGGTCTATGGGTCTCTGTGTAAGTCTTTGGGTCACTGTGGCCGCTCTTTGTATGATGACCGCCCTGTGTATGATGACCGCCCTGTGTATGATGACCACCCTGTGTATGATGACTGCCCTGTGTATGATGACCGCCCTGTGTACGATGACTGCCCTGTGTATGATGACCGCCCTGTGTATGATGACCGCCCTGTGTATGATGACCACCCTGTGTATGATGACTGCCCTGTGTATGATGACCGCCCTGTGTACGATGACCACCCTGTGTATGATGACCGCCCTGTGTATGATGACCGCCCTGTGTACGATGACCGCCCTGTGTACGATGACTGCCCTGTGTACGATGACCGCCCTGTGTACGATGACCACCCTGTGTATGATGACCGCCCTGTGTATGATGACTGCCCTGTGTACGATGACTGCCCTGTGTATGATGACCACCCCTGTGTATGATGACCGCCCTGTGTACGATGACCGCCCTGTGTACGATGACCGCCCTGTGTATGATGACTGCCCTGTGTACGATGACCGCCCTGTGTATGATGACCGCCCTGTGTACAATGACCGCCCTGTGTACGATGACCGCCCTGTGTATGATGACCGCCCTGTGTATGATGACCGCCCTGTGTATGATGACCACCCTGTGTACGATGACCACCCTGTGTATGATGACCGCCCTGTGTACGATGACTGCCCTGTGTATGATGACCGCCCTGTGTATGATGACCGCCCTGTGTATGATGACCGCCCTGTGTACGATGACCACCCTGTGTACGATGACTGCCCTGTGTATGATGACCACCCTGTGTATGATGACCGCCCTGTGTATGATGACCGCCCTGTGTACGATGACTGCCCTGTGTACGATGACTGCCCTGTGTACAATGACTGCCCTGTGTATGATGGCCGCTCTGCGTGCAGTGCCGGCCAAGGCCGCGGCTCCGGCCGGGAACGGCTGCTCGTCCCCACGTCGCCCGGTGGAGTCCGACTACCGGAGCGACGCGGCCGCCACTCTGGTGAGTCCGCACGGCACGGCGCTCCTCCGCGCCGTGCCCGGCCGGCCGGGCGGTGCCGCGGTGGTGACCGCTCGCGCCTCCCAGCAACGAGGGGCCCGGGTTCGATTCCCGACCTCGGGCGCCTTTCTGCGCGGAGTTTGTCTGCTCTCTCCCCTCCTGTGTTGCAGGGCGAATGCCCCCGGGTTCTCTGGTTTCCTCCCGTGGATAAAGAAGTAAAACCGTACAATGTAACTGGCACTGGACGTAATGGTGAAGGCGGCTGTACGAGTCGCGAGCGAGAGGGAGGAACGGCGCAAGGTCGAGTGCGGGGAGAGTGCGAGGAGGGAGAGCGAAGGTGGAGAGAGAGAGAATGGAAGGAGAGAGGAGGAAGATACATAGGGGAAGTGAAGTCTAGAGAAAACTAAACTGTTTTTATTTTACCAGGTAAGGTCCACTGAGCTACTGTGTAGCTCTTTTTCAGAAGCGACCTGGCTATCACAAATGATAGCTCAACGAAGTGGCTTGTCACATGGAGATTATATTATATAAGCGCGTGTTTCCAAATGCGGACGGAAAAACCGGAAGACCCGGAGAAAAATCCACGCGACCACGGGAAGAGAGAGAGACACACAAACTCCAACTATACAGCAGGCTTCAGGGTCGGGATCGAACCCACGACTTCCTGCATATCAGGCGAGGCAGTTAACATCTCCTAGCCACCGCGGCGACAGGAGGCGAGAGGACCAACAAGGGGGGGTGGGGGACACAGAAGGCAGAGAGAGAGAAGAGAGTGGGGGAAAGCGTCAGCTAAGGAGAGAGTGCAAGGGAGAGAGACAGGGTAGATAAGGGAGAGCATAGAGAGGAAGAGGGAGGTAGGGGGGAGAGGTGGGTAGGGTTGGTGAGGGGAGGGGGGGGGTGCTGTACCTCACAGTGCTGGCCAGGAACCCTGCCACCCTGCGTGTGCTCGGGGCGGTAGTACCACAGCAGACTCATGGTGAGCTCCCCTGCACACACAGCACCACAATTCCCCCACTAAAGCCTTGCACGATGCGATGAGCACGGTTGCGTATGTCGGGCGCCCTTTATCGGCCTTAACAATATCCCATTGTAGCACAATTATCTTCAAATTAATCAGAGACGCGTCCTCCCGACGGCCCGCCGACCCTTTCTTCGTCGGCCAGTGTTTACCAAAATCAGGCCCGCGCGTGCGAAAAACCTGGCAGGACCCTCCTGAAAGAGGAGTCTCGAGCCTCGGCCGGGGGCCCCCCAGCAACCGGCGGCCGTGGGCCGGCTTGGGCCTACCGAGTCCCCTTTTAGAGTGGCCCCCGCCGAGAGGCATGGCATGGCCGAGCCCTCGTGGTTACAGGCCGAGTGAGGTACAATGGAGAGGAGCGAGGGGGTTGAAGGATCGAGACGTTGCGTTTGCCCGCGCGCCCTTGTTTCGTCATGCATATCTTAGCGTCTGTTCGCACGTCTGGTCTGTCTTGTCCCTGTCTGTCTGTGTGTGGGGGTAGTCGCTCGCTATGGGGGAGCGGTGCCGTAACGGTTAACGCTACGCCGCGCTGTGAACCCGGCGGTCCCGAGTTCGATTCCCGCTCACGGTCAACATCGGTGACGATTATTTGAACCGGTCCTGGGCATCCCCTAAGGTCGACTCTGGTGCGGTGTGTAGTAAACATCGCCACTGGGGAGACAAAGGCGGCCGGGCGTGGCACTGACCACCCACCCCCCTCGTGTGCTGTTCCGGCCTTCATAGGTGCTACTTGCTAACAGCACTTGTCCCAATAGAATATTAAGGCTACACGGGGGATCTTTGTCTTTGTTTGTATGTGTAGGAGTTGGTGACCCCGGTGCAGGAGACGGACCCAGTGCAGGGAGAGCTGGGTACGGTGACTCCATACTGCACCACACCACACTGCATCACACCACACTGCACCACATCACCCCAGACCACACTGCACTGCACCACACTGCCCCACACTGCACCGCATCACACGACTCCACACTGCACCACACCACCTGTACCATCCCACACCACCCCATACCACACGAAAGCACACCACCCCTTACTGCACCGCACCACCCTGCACTACACCACGCCACACCACGCCACACCACGCCACACCACGCCGCACCATGTGGCTACAGTACCGTGGCATGCGTGAATGTGTGCTCACTGATGCTAGTTTGTAGGGAGCAGTGGTGCAGTGGTTAGCACACTGCTGTCTGAAACCATGAACCTGATTTCCATTTCCGCACCTGGCCACCTTCAGTGATGAATACCTGAACCGGTCCTGGGCCTCCCCTAGTCTTAAATCAGTGTCTGGCATGGTGTAAACTTCAGAATTGTGGAGACAAAGGCGGCCGGGCATGGTGCTGGCCACCCACTCCCACGTGTGATGTACTGACCTTCATAGGTGCTCGCTAACAGCACTTGCTCCTCCAGTCTGTTAAGGCTATACAGGAAATCTTTTCCTTTGGAGCGGTGGAGTGTTACCGCACTGCGCTACGAACCCGGCGACCCAAGTTCGATTCCCGCTCACGGCCAACATCATTGGAGAATACCTGAACTGGTCATGGGCCTTACCTAGGTCGCCTTGGTCTTAAACGAGTTCCTTAAGTGGTGTGTAAATCATCAGCACTGGGGGAACAAAGGTGGCTGGGGGTGGTGCTGGCAACACCAGCCCCTGGCACATCGTACCTGCCTTAATAGGTGCTCGCTAACAACAGCACTTGCCAAGATGGTCTGTGAATGCTGTATGGGCATCTTTGTCTTTTGTTGTCTCTTGTGGTGCGTGCGTGTGCTCACACCCGCGTGTGTGCGTGCGCTCACACCCGCGTGTGCGTGTACTCACACCCGCGTGTGTGTGTACTCACACCCGTGTGTGTGTGTGCGTGTACCTGGGTGTGCCCCTGTGTGTCGCAGTGACTGCGCGTGAGAAGCGGCAGAGTCCCGGCCTGACGAAGGAGGAGACGGCACCGTTTGTGGGTCACGCACAAACGACCTCTGACCCCTCCTCGCCTCTCCAACAAGAGCACCGCTTATTATCCTACCACGCGTCACTTACCGATAAACTCATTCGCCTACACAACCACCCACCCAGTTCCTCACCCTCCAACTCACTCACCCACTCCCTCAGCCACCCACTCATCCACTCCCTCACCCTCCCACCCACTCAATCTCCCACGTGTCACTCACTCGCAAAGCCACCGAGTCACTCGCTCACCGAGTCACTCGCTCACGAAGCCACCATCCACCACTGTCACCGAGTGAGCACGAAGCCAGGAGCCTCGACCTTCGGGCCTACTCAATCTCCCGCCGCGCCCTCGTGTAGTTCACCCCAGAGACCACACCCTTTGTAATCTCCACATTTATTCTGCTGCACTTGTGCGCCAAGTCAACGGAGTTTTGTCCGGTGACGCATTCATACATAGAGGATCGCAGAGCTTGGGCCATTGTTGACTGCGCCGGCTGGCCGCGTGGCCGCTGCCTTCCCGCCGCTTGTCCGCGGTTCTTCTGAGTCGCGCCCTCTCCCTCACGCTCCCTCTCCCTCACGCTCCCTCTTCGAGAGCGAGTGAATGCTGTGCAGCGCGTTGCAAGTTAACGTTTTTATTCTCGTCGCGGTCGAAGGGGGTCGTCGCGGCGGAGTTAGCGCGGATTCTTTTTCACGCAATGTGAAGCGAGCTGGCGATGGACAATCGAGCTGTGTGCGGACGCGCAGAGAAGGCTTTGCCTGCACAGTTGTGCGTACGTACAGAAGTTCAGCGAAGTTCAGCGTACATACATATGTACAGTAAAACCTTGGATTGCGAGTAACTTGGTCTGCGAGTGTTTTGCAAGACGAGCAAAAATTTAAAATAAATATTAATTTGATAAACGAGCGAGGGTCTTGCAATACGAGAAGCAGCACGTGTAGACGCTTTGTCTGCCGAGCGTCACGTGATCACAACTGATATACAACGAGTGCTTTGATATACGAGTGATTTGATATACGAGTGATTTGATATACGAGTGCTTTGATATACGAGTGCTTCGGATTACAAACACGTTTTTCCGGAACGAATTATGCTCGCAATCCAAGGTTTTACTGTACATATGTATGTACGTATATACTGTACCTACGTATGTACGTGCGCTGCACTTTTTTCACACCGTACGTAGCCAACCGCGCTGAATCGAAGGTCGCGTGTCCGCTCGTTACATCGGCGTCCCTCGGCGGACGGCCTCGGGCCTGGTCACGCCCAGTGTCCTCGGCTCAAAGCAGAAAGCCTCGTTCAGTTTGCTCGGTGGCTGTGGAGCTCGGACCTCCGCCCGCTCTTTTGGATTAAAGCTGTCGAGGAGACTGCTGTGCCAGGCGACTCGGCGGGTTGCGAGTTCGCATCCTGGTCGCGGGTGGGTCGGGGGGGGGTTGCGTCGGGGTGAGGGTGGCGGTGGGTGACTTGGCCCATAATGCCTCTGGGGTCGATAATTCCACAAGCGCCACTTTGTGGGGAAATCAACAGTGGTTGTCCTATGGATGGATAAGACTCTCCCTCCCCCCTCCCGGGCCATGTGAATGTGTAATTTCCACCGTTGGCTAAGCAGCGTAACAACTGGGAGATGACCACCGCCCCAATGCTTCTTGAGCAGCAGGACATCCCTTTGAGATTGCTTCGCGACGAACACTCCTGGCAGGGCACAGAACATCAGGCGTGCCCCAAATTTTGCTAACTGAGGTCGTGTCTGCGATTCACACAGAAGGAGACTGAGGCCAGCAACCCCATCGCAATCCCTGGCAAAACTCCGACGGAAACCCCCACTGAAAAGGCCGCTGAAAGTCCCAACGGCAGTAGCGGCGGTGAGTCTCGGGCACAGGAGGGAAATGGGTAACGAGTCGAGACTTGATTTAGAATTTATTTGTGGGTTACCCGTGCGCGTGTCCATAGCCCCACACCACTCTTCGCGTGCCGTGCCGGCCTCCATAGGTGCCGCTCGCTCAGAGAGCCTGGCCAGCAAGTCAGTTAACGCTGTACGGGTAATAATTGTCTTGCGGTGGGAAGCGATGGTGCAGTGGTTAGTGGACTGCGCTACGAACCCAGCGACCCGAGTTCAATTCCCACTCACGACCATTAACAATTGAGAATGTTTGCATCGATCCTGGGCCTCGCTTACATCAACTTAGCCTTAAACAAGTACCACCTGCAATGTGTATATTCCAGTACCTGGGGAGACGTAAGTGGGCGGGCGTGGTGCTCGCCACCCAACCCCCTCTTGCGCCGTGCCGCCCTCCATACATGCTCGCTCAAGACACTTGCCCCAACAATCTGTTAAGGCTATATGGGCGATATTTGTCTTTGTGTGTCTCTGTGGCGAAATGTTAACTACCTCGGCTGGTATACACGGGGTCCTGGGTTTGATCCCGACCCTGAGGCCTGCTGTATATTTGGAGTTTGCGTGTTCTTCCTGTGCTCGCGTGGATTTTTTTTTCAGGAGCTCCAGTTTTTCCCTCCACGTTTAGAAACAATGTGTTTAGAGTATCAGACTGCTATAAATTATCCACGTGATAAGCCACTTCGTTGAGCTATCATTTGTGATAACCAGGTCGCTTTTGAAAAAGAGCTACATAGCTCAGTGGGCCTTACCAGGTAAATAAAAAATTAGTTAAGTGTGTGCCGTACATGTGTGTGTGTGTGCAGGTCAGTCATGTCCCAACCTCCCCCCCGCCATTGACCCCGTGACCTCTGCCCCCGTCTCGCTGTGCTCGGGTACCGAGCGCCCCCAGCCCACGGTGCTGGACTTCATGGATGACGCCGACGCCTTCTACAGACTCAAGGCCAAGTTGGATCCCAGCCACAGCATCATCAAGGTGTGTCGCAGTGCCGCGGTGACCAATAGACTCACGTAGAGACCCAGTTTAGTTTGTCATCCTTCCCCCCCACCCCCCCCCCGCACCTCCGATACGCACGGTTGGCTACGTATGGTGCGAAAGAAGTTTCAAATATATACATAGACTAGCATCAGACCGATAGACTCGCATAGGACCTAGAGACTTACGTACACCCATAGACTAACATAGGACCCGTAGACTAATATAGGATCTGCAGACTAGCATAGGACCCACAGACGAATGTAGACCCAGTGATGTAGCTATCGAGTATGGCCATTGTTCAGTGCACAGTAGATGAGATCAGTCAAAATATCGGCACGTTTGCTTTTGAAATGCCACACGAGAGGAGATGGCCATCGTGAACCCAACGACATGGCCACTGTGAACCCGCCGCCGCCCGCAGAACTGGCGTCACGTGGGCTCACGCTGGGGCCTAAGCTACGACGAGCTGAGCCTGCTGGAGGAGCGGGGGAGGGGCGGGCGCAGCCCCACCGAGGAGGTGCTCCTGCGCAACGGGCACCGCCCGCTGGCCCAGCTGGTGCAGCAGTGCCGCGACCTCAACCGGATCGACGCCGCCTTGCTGCTGCAGGACTGGGTGGCGCAAACGTGGCGCCGGGGGCCACGGCAGCAGGAGGAGCTCGGTCACTCGTGGCGCTAGCGGCGCCGGCGGCGAGGGCCGCGGGAGAAGCTCCCGGCACGAGGGCGCGGGACGTCGTGCCGAACGACGCTCCGTGGTGACCCGCACGGGAAAGCCGCACGGCACGACCGCGGAAAATATCTTAAGTGGCGTCGGCGGCGGCGCCGGCGGCGGCGCCATCGCCACCGTGAAGCTTCTAGATATGGGTAGAATCGAAATGACGTGTGAATTAGAACGGGGACAATTAGTCGGTGAGGCCCGATCGATCGACGGATCATTGCGATCGACTACTTCTTACTCTTGCGATGGCGCGTGTCGCGAGATAATTGATCGTTTTGATGCTTGTAAGTGTAATGCGAATGATGCGTTACAGATACATTGAGGCCAAGAGAGCAAACGAAACCGTACAAACAAGACCTTGACGAGCCATACAAATAAACAAAGGGCACAGTAAAAATGATACAGGAAAAAAAAATGGAGCCTTAAATCGAATCGCGATACTGAACGGTGACGATTTATAGAATTGCTGCGGGGCTGAGTCGTTCAGACATGCCGAGTCCGCAACGTCATCGGCACCGTCGTCCTCATCAGGACGATCAACATCATTATCAATGGCGCACCAACGTCGTCAGACGCTCACGCCCAATTTTGTTTGGTTAAGGGAGCTCATGGGATCGCATGCGGTTAAGGGCGATTGGTTTGTGGTTGTGCGGATTATGCGAGGACAAATCCTCCGCTTTCTGGCACATTGTTCAAACGTTTTCATGAGCGTCCACGTGCAAATGTTTTAAGCGGACCGGCAGTGCTGGGTTCACGTTACGGTTATGTGGATGGACGCAGCGTTAGTTACAGGAAGACGCAGCCAAAACAAGTTAAGAAAAAAAAAGCATACGTTTGGATCCTTCAACGTTCCTAACGTGCGTTCGTCCTCGGAAGTATTTAATCAGCGGCGTGGAAACTGGGGGAAAACGCGTTTGCATATTTGCAAATACTGTGATCCTTTTGCCTCTGGTGTTTTGTCTCCCAAGTTTCAGGCAGCGCTTTGACTAATTTGGCTAGTTTTCTAGAGTTCTAGAGGGCAAGTCCCTGATAATGGTAACACAACTTTAGACTACAGATACGGCCCATGCCTTCAATTGATAAAACCTGCAGCAACACGAGGCCTCTTCTCACTTCAAAACAGGTCCCCAAACAAGCTTTACTTCTTCACGACTAGCATCTTGGCCGCACTAATCGGACACCTGAGGGGAATGTGTTTGACCTGGCGGGCACTAATTTAAGCAAGTGCCCAGTCACTCCTGTCACTGCAAGGGCCTCGCAGAACCTTGAATAAATAGGACTCAACATCTCGGCAGCACTAATTGGGTCCTGGAGGGCAATATTTTCAACCTGGCGACAACAAATGCGTTTCTAATTTCGGCATGCTCGGTCGAATTATGTCACTGCTTCTTCTTGCCCGGTCAAACACGCACGTTTCTTTTTATGTTAGTAATTTGGGTAGCGATAAGGGGTGTGATTGTAGTGAGGTGGCCTGCCACAGGTATGTGAAAGTCCTGTTAGGCCCTTCGTAAGGATAAGAGGTTCCCCACTCCTGTTCTGCTCGAGTTGTTCAGGATTTTTTTTCTGCCGGTAATTATCCCTATTATAATAATAGGGTTTTTCCCCTTTTTTCTGGCAACAAAACTGAAACCTTTTGACAAGGAATCATGTGTGCATTAACCACAATTCCCGTGGTCAAAATGCAAACAAAAAAAACACACGATGATAATATATGCATTGTCCTTGAAACTGATTGGTCTACACCAGAGACAGCTTTCTTTTGAGCCTCGTCTCAATTGGTGCTAGACCAGATGACGCCAAAAGGCGTACAGCTCAAAGACAATGCACTATCAGAGTAATGAGGGCTCGGGGTAAGCATTGACATCATTAGACCTCCTTTGCCAGTACCAAAATATAATATGGTTTTTCCTTTTTTTTCTGGCAACAAAACTGAAACCTTTTTACAAGGAATCATGTGTGCATTAACCACAATACCTGTGGTCAAAATGCAAACAAAAAACACTCGCTGATAATATATGATGCATTGTCCTTGAAATTGATTGGTCCACACCAGAGACGGCTTTCTTTTGAACCTATGAACCCTTTGGCACGACGTGCCAAAGGGTTCATAGTGGACATTAACGATCCCGTGACGTTGTGTGCCAGTGTCACAGTCCGTGCGAAAACTAGACCAGAGGACGCCAAAAGGCGTACAGCTTTCCTATTGTTGGGTTTTTAATGTGGACTGTGTAAAAGGTGTGTATTTTGATGTATCTATGTTTAACACGTAGGCTTTCGCGCCCAATATCATCCATAATATAGTTGTTATTTTTAATAAAAACTAATATCTGCGACTAAAGGCGTATTACCGAAGCTATCAACAGAAGGTGCGTACCGGATTAATTGCTCTTGTGGCAAATGCTATGTTGGGCAGACAAGACGAATGATCAGCACGAGACTTCTAGAACACCAAAGCAATATATACAGTGAGGGAAAAAAGTATTTGATCCTGTGCTGATTTTGTACATTTGCCCACTGACAAAGAAATTATCAGTCTTTAATTTTAATGGTAGGTTTATTTGAACAATGAGAGACAGAATAACAACAACAAAATCCAGAAAAACGCATGTCAAAAGTGTTATGAATTGATTTTAATCAGAGAAATAAGTATTTGACCCCTCTGCAAAACATGACTTAGTACTTGGTGGCAAAACCCTTGTTGGCAATCACAGAGGTCAGACGTTTCTTGTAGTTGGCCACCAGGTTTGCACACATCTCAGGAGGGATTTTGTCCCACTCCTCTTTGCAGATCTTCTCCAAGTCATTAAGGTTTCGAGGCTGACGTTTGGCAACTCGAACCTTCAGCTCCCTCCACAGATTTTCTATGGGATTAAGGGCTGGAGACTGGCTGCAAAGCAACTGTTTCATATTGCTCAGCAGCATCCAGTATTTTATTTCATTGCTAAAGCCTGAAAAAGGAATGTGGAAGATGTGTTGTTTTATATTTTTCAGCGTCTATTTTGTGATTGTTTACATGGGACATAAAATATGCATATGTTTAATTCACAATGATAAACCGCATAGAATATCGGAATGCCACGTTGCAATATGTATGGTATATTTCACTCCAGCGCTGTCCTCCAGACAGTCTCGTCCCTTCACCTGATGAAGGCCGCTTGTGTTGTGGCCGAAACGTCGTGAGAATATCATTGTGTTATTTAATTTTATCAATTTATTATTTTATTCTCATTCTACGTGACTTTACCGAAAGAACCAAAGAAGATATTTCTAGCTATGTGAAAGCAGAATCGCCATGCAGGCTTCATATCTCATAACATAGTGCAATGTAATCAGCTTGCTGCGAGGTGTTTCTAAATATATATAAAAAAATGTAATAGCACATGCGAAACATTGAGAAGCTAAGAAATTGCCATGAATACGTTGCCCACCCGATCTGCTTCTCACTGATGAACAGCGTAATGATCGCAAGCCCCATCACGAGCCCTCCCGTCAGTGCTGGTGGCAATGCCTATCCCTCTTTGCCTGCCAGCTCTTGATTCACGGATGTTTTTTTTTACACATTTGCTGAGCACAGGCTCAAAGGTCCAAAGCGTCAAGCGGTCAGTGACAAACGGCACGATAAAAATTGTAAAAGGGAAGAGTTACGATTTTTTTTAAACTGAGCAACGTTATTATAAGAGCTTGGGGAAAACAGACGATGGAAGGAATTCCTAAGTGTAGCCGGGTGAGGGAAAAAAACAAAATGCATTTGTTGTGACCTGACATGTACGTATGTACGTTGCACTTCTTACGCACCGTACATAGCCAACCGTGCTCGTCGACACAGCGAGAGCGTATTCGTTATTTGTTGGATAGGTTCGCGGTTCGATTGTGCCAGGCAGCTCTGGTTAATACAACAGTGTCTAATAACCATAAAACACGACGTGCCAAAGGGTTCATAGTGGACATTAACGATCCCGTGACGTTGTGTGCCAGTGTCACAGTCCGTGCGAAAACTTGAAAAATGTAAATGTACTTGATTGGGAAAGACGTAGCAATCATTGTCCTTTACTGCAAAAACTTAGTATGACCCTCCTAAAAAATATATTCTTGAGACTCGGTGAAGCTTTCTGTGGGTAAACAAATGTAAATAATGAATGTGAGGGCAGTGGGGGGCTTTGATCAGCAGTGAATCTCGCTTGGAGTCGTACACAGACAACCATGGTTCTCTCGAGCAGCGGTGCACATTGAAGTTCGGATTTAAGCGTCCAGAGATCAGACCATGAGTCAGTACAGTGAGGGGAAAAAATATTTGATCCCCTGCTGATTTTGTACGTTTGCCCACTGACAAAGAAATGAGCAGTCTATAATTTTAATGGTAGGTTTATTTGAACAGTGAGAGACAGAATAACATCAAAACATTTGATTTGCATTTTAATGAGGGAAATAAGTATTTGACCCCTCTCCAAAACATGACTTAGTACTTGGTGGCAAAACCCCTGTTGGCAATCACAGAGGTCAGACGTTTCTTGTAGTTGGCCACCAGGTTTGCACACATCTCAGGAGGGATTTTGTCCCACTCCTCTTTGCAGATCTTCTCCAAGTCATTAAGGTTTCGAGGCTGACGTTTGGCAACTCGAACCTTCAGCTCCCTCCACAGATTTTCTATGGGATTAAGGTCTGGAGACTGGCTAGGCCACTCCAGGACCTTAATGTGCTTCTTCTTGAGCCACTCCTTTGTTGCCTTGGCCGTGTGTTTTGGGTCATTGTCATGCTGGAATACCCATCCACGACCTATTTTCAATGTCCTAGTTGAGGGAAGGAGGTTCTCACCCAAGATTTGACGGTACATGGCCCTGTCCATCGTCCCTTTTATGCGGTGAAGTTGTCCTGTCCCCTTAGCAGAAAAACACCCCCAAAGCATAATGTTTCCACCTCCATGTTTGACGGTGGGGATGGTGTTATTGGGGTCACAGGCAGCATTCCTCCTCCAAACACGGCGAGTTGAGATGATGCCAACGAGCTCCATTTTGGTCTCATCTGATCACAACACTTTCACCCAGTTGTCCTCTGAATCATTCAGATGTTCATTGGCAAACTTCAGACGGGCATATATATGTGCTTTCTTGAGCAGGGGGACCTTGCGGGCGCTGCAGGATATCAGTGCTTCACGGCGTAGTGTGTTACCAATTGTTTTCTTGGTGGCTATGGTCCCAGCTGCCTTGAGATCATTGACAAGATCCTCCCGTGTAGTTCTGGGCTGATTCCTCACCGTTCTCATGATCATTGCAACTCCACGAGGTGAGATCTTGCATGGAGCCCCAGGCCGAGGGAGATTGACAGTTCTTTTGTGTTTTTTTCCATTTGCGAATAATCGTACCAACTGTTGTCACCTTCCCACCAAGCTGCTTGGCAATGGTCTTGTAGCCCATTCTAGCCTTGTGTAGGTCTACAATCTTGTTCCTGACATCCTTGGAGAGCTCTTTGGTCTTGGCCATGGTGGAGAGTTTGGAATCTGATTGATTGCTTCTGTGGACAGGTGTCTTTTATACAGGTAACAAGCTGAGATTAGGATCACTCCCTTTAAGTGTGTTCCTAATCTCAGCTCGTTATCTATATAAAAGACACCTGGGAGCCAGAAATATTTCTGATTGAGAGGGGGTCAAATACTTATTTCCCTCATTAAAATGCAAATCAATTTATAACATTTTTGACATGCGTTTTTCTGGATTTTGTTGTTGTTATTATGTCACTCACTGTTCAAATAAACCTACCGTAAAAATTATAGACTGATCATTTCTTTGTCAGTGGGCAAACGTACAAAATCACCAGGGGATCAAATACTTTTTTCCCTCACTGTAATACTCCCAAATACAACTGTCGGCAGTGGCAGAACACGCGTGCCAACAAGGACACTAAAGTGATTTTGATAATGTTGAAGTGCTGTGCAAAACTAGTTACTACAGGCCAAGACTAATTCGATAATTTATTGAAATTGAGAGAAATAAAAATAATTGTAACCTTTCGGATAGCTACAGGCTTAGTGCTGCTTGGAAGCGAATCATCACATTCATAACACAGGTTTTTTTGGGGGGGTTTAACGACAAATATATTTACCCGATCTAACAAAAAAACCCTGTATTATGGATGATATTGGTCGCGAAAGCCTACTTGTTAAAGTGCCTATACAGGTTACCATACGTCAATGGGTATTACCTGCGCGCAGACAATAACACGGACTGCTATTTTAGTGCACACAAACAACAGGAGGTACAGGAACAATGCGCATGCGTAATGTACACGATGTACGGTGATTTACCATATGAATAACTCAACCGGTAATGGATACCCATTGTAATTTATATTCATTCATTAATCCCCTCCCCTTCACACCTGAAGGGCTCGCAAGTGATGTCATCACATCTATCCCCTCTATTTAAGGAATGAAAAGGGACTTCTCCAAAAACCTGGCTGTCTGCCTGATGAAGCTGGTTGTAATTACTGGCGAAACGTCGTACTCAAGATTGTAAACATTGTGGATTTGCTGCAACACGCCGGCGTGCTGTACAAGTAATGAATTGGCACGTTCTGTTTATGTCGGGTGGTGGCCAGCTTAACGGCACATTTATATTTACTCGATCAAACCCCCCCCAAAAACCCCTATATTATTGATGTATGTATGTTGACAGTCGGGAGCACAGCTGGTGTGCATCTGCGAGTCATCTCAGTCAACCCATGGCACCTGGGTCTGTCCCATGACCTGTCAGCGAGCCTTCGACAATTCACGTGACCTCAAAGTGCACCTGGCCTGGCACAGGCGCCGGGTATTGGTTTGTGTGCTTAACTTCTTTCGCACCATACGTAGCCAGTCGTGCTAATCGTAGGTGCGGGGGAAGGACAAACTAAACACACAAGAAAGCAGTAAGGTAGCAGTTGATGCTACCTCATGAGATTCCTAACATCTCCAATTGCATAAGGTGACCTGAATTTGAGTAATATTTCAACACTTTTCATTGATACTTGTGTACAGTACTAATAAGAAGCGAGCGTGGGAGAGTAGGCCATTGAATAAGAGCTCAGCTCAATGCGCCTTGAACGAAATAAACCGACTGACATCTGCCAGCGGTAGCATGAGCAAGCAATTGCAGGGCTGCGCCTGTAACCTTACTCAGGAAAGCCTCAATGAGTCTCAAGACTCCTTGTGTGGAGGGTCCTACATGGAATATATGTATATAATTCTTGTTTTAAGATTCGTTGAGAATTACTCGTTTCACGAGTGCCCGGCAGGCAACTGACCTTTGCGAGGTGAAATAACTGAACATGAACAATATCACTGCATTTTTTTTTATCCAGGAAGGTCTGAATCTCAGTACTGCATCTCAGGAGGAACCTGCATTGGGATCTTTAAACAGTTCCTGTATTATTTAATTAATGCTTTTGTCTAAAAAGTGTTTTGCATAAACGGTGAACTCTCAACGTTGGCTCAACGTTCCATGTTTACTGAGGAGGGAAAGCCCAGATAACAGAATCAGAATATGTATCTATACTGGAGGAATCCGATGGGCTATTAAGCTCTTTTTTTCAAAAATGTCCAGGTAGGGGCACAGGGTAAGAACGTTACAACAACAAACTACACAAACACGACAGTAGCGCAAAGTACAAGGCAGGTAAACAAATCACACGAACACAAACAAATACAAAACACTAAACCATCCTCATCCTACCAGGCAAAGCCCACTGAGGTATTAACTTAACATATTAACTTATATACTTAGTTCTTTCGGTAAAGTCACGTTGAAGGGAAACAACAAAATAATAAAATATATATAAAACAATAAAAATTCTCACGACGTTTCGACCATAACACAAACGGTCGTCTTCAGGTGTGTCGGTTTGCATAAATTTATTTTTAAACGGTGTATTTATTTATAAAAAAAAAACGTTAGCGCCACGCGCAGCGATTTGGCAATTTATGTAGACGGACTAGTCCATCTATGTTCTGAAAAGAGGAGGGGGAAGACGAATTTTTTTCCCCCTCCTCTTTTCAGAACATAGATGGACTAGTCCGTCTGAATAAACTGCCAAATCGCTGCGCGTGGCGCTAACGTTGTTTTATTATAATAAATAAATAAATACGCCGTTTAAAAATAAATACATTTATGCAGACCGACACACCTGAAGACGACCGTTTGTGTTATGGTCGAAACGTCGTGAGAATTTTTATTATATATATTTTATTATTTTGTTGTTTCCCTTCAACGTGACTTTACCGAAAGAACTAAGAATATGAATTACTGCAGTCACGAAAGCTTTAAATCAAAAGTATTAACTTATTTTTTATAAGCGGCCTGGCCACCAATAGCTCAACAAAGTGCCCCATTATTTGGACATAACACCTAAATAACCTCAATGCATACTCTTTGGTTCTTTCGGTAAAGTCACGTAGGTAGAAAAACAAGAATATATATCGCGACGTCTCTATCGCAACACAAGCGGTCGTCTTCCGGCGGAAAAAAATAATCCAGCAGTGGAACTGCTGATATATTATTATGTTATTTAGTTTTTCTACCTACGTGACTTTACCAAAAGAACCAAAGACGACCACGGGGAGAACACCGCGAACTCCAAATATACAAGGTCGGGATCGAACCCCCGACCTCCTGCATACCAGGCGAGGAAGACAACATCTCTCCACCGTGGTGCCCCTTTAAGAAATAAACGCATATATAATGAAAAAACACTTCCAAATGAGGCTATAAACATCATCTGTTCACATTGGCAGAATGCGTGGTTCAGTTTGTGGTCTCACATCGGGCGCTGTGTCCGCTGACCCTCGGCTAGGAAGGAGCAGATTATATTTAAACCAGTGCTGCACATAAAAAAAATAGATATTTATTCAGTTTGTCGCACGTGTTTTAACCCATGTGAGCATGTTGACTCCGCAACCCGGCTAATTGAGATTTAACTAAGCTTGGAAAACAAAACAAACATAAAACCCGACTCGGTATGCTGGCTCATACAGATGGAAAGCACAGACATTGCACTCCGTGGTAAATGTTACGTAGATAACAGTTTTGTTTTGGATGTATTTTAATACGTAAATGTTGGACCTTTATAAACTAAAATGTTATTAAGTGACGTCTGCTGTATGTGTTTGTGTTATGGGATTAGACTTACATCGCGTTTATGTTCTATTTAATTATATTGAACTTATTTCGCACCGTACGTAGCTAACCGTGCTAATCGGAGGTGCAGTGTTGAGTCTATGGGTAGTGCTGAGTCTATGGGTAGTGTTGAGTATATGGGCAGTGCTGAGTCTATGGGCAGTGCTGAGTCTATGGGTAGTGTGGAGTCTATGGGTTAGTGTTGAGTCTATAGGTAATGTTGAGTCTATGGGCAGTGTTGAGTCTATGGGCAGTGCTGAGTCTATGGGCAGTGTTGAGTCTATGGGCAGTGTTGAGTCTATGGGTAGTGTTGAGTCTATGGGCAGTGCTGAGTCTATGGGTAGTGCTGAGTCTATGGGTAGTGTTGAGTCTATGGGCAGTGTTGAGTCTATGGGTAGTGCTGAGTCTATGGGTAGTGTTGAGTCTATGTGCAGTGTTGAGTCTATGGGCAGTGCTGAGTCTATGGGTAGTGTTGAGTCTATGGGCAGTGTTGAGTCTATGGGTAGTGCTGAGTCTATGGGTAGTGTTGAGTATATGGGCAGTGCTGAGTCTATGAGTAGTGTTGAGTCTATGGTTAGTGTATTCTTGGTTGTTTCGGTAAAGTCACGTAGAAGGGAAACAATAAAATTATATGGGTAGTGTTGAGTCTATGGGCAGTGCTGAGTCTATGGGTAGTGTTGAGTCTATGGGTAGTGTTGAGTCTATGGGCATTATTGAGTCTATGGGCAGTGTTGAGTCTATGGGCAGTGTTGAGTCTATGGGCAGTGTTGAGTCTAGAAGGGAAACAATAAAATAATATGGGTAGTGTTGAGTATATGGTGCAGTGCTGAGTCTATGGGTAGTGCTGAGTCTATGGGTAGTGTTGAGTCTATGGGCAGTGTTGAGTCTATGGGCAGTGTTGAGTCTATGGACAGTGTTGGGTCTATGTGCAGTGTTGAGTCTGTGGGCAGTGTAGAGTCTATGGGCAGTGTTGAGTCTATGGACAGTGTTGAGTCTATGGGCAGTATGTATGTTGAACTTCTTTCGCACCGTACGTAGCCAACCGTGCTAATCGGGGGTGCCGGGGGGAAGGAGAACAACAACACTAAACACTAAAAACAGTTCTAAAGAAATTAGTTTTCAATCTATATTTAAAAAGTGCATAGCTCCAGTGGCTTTGCCTGGTACGACAAAACATATAGTTTTAAAAAATATTTCTTGTAGTGATTTGTTTACCTGGCCTACACTTTGCACTCCCATCGTGTTTTGGTTTGCATTATTGTTGCAGCGTTCTTACCCTGCGCCCCCGACTGGACATCTGTAAAAAAAAAGCTTTATAGCTCATCGGATTCCTACTGCAGCATAAATACAGATTCTGACTTCTGATCTGCGCATCTCAACAGCTTAAAGCCAATGGGCAGGTGGCGTGCGCAGTGGTAAAGTGTGGGTTATGAGAGTTTGAGAGTGCACGAAATTTACACCGTGGGGCCTGATAAGAATTACATTTGAACTCTCCATGTCTATATAAATAAAGGCCTTAATCTGTACGTCTCAAGAACCTCTAGGGGTACTTCCCGACAAGGTAGAACGTTGACATTTGGTACCCAGGTAGCTTTCAGGGCACAAACAGCGGAGGAAAAAAATCAGAAAAAACGAAATTTTTCATTTTAAGGGCCTCAAAATCTCGATTTTGAGTGTCCCATAAACATGTTTGTGCGTGGTGTCATGCAGAAACCGTAAAAAAATATAAGATTCCGTGTTTTTCGTTCGATTGAGCGTTACATAGCAAATACAATTAAAGCGAGAACCATTCTATCTTTTATTGTTTTCCACATATTTCGGATTCAAGCGGTTTTGAACGAAAAAAAATTCACATTTTTTGATGTTCAAATCTGAATAATTCGAAAACTGCAAAAGATAGGAGCTTCCCCCTCATTGAGTATTACGTTCACAAAATGTTGTTCTTTCTAATTAAAAAAAACTAACACATTCTTTAAATTGACCGGTTTCCGATGGGTACACCTTGAAATATAATAACTTAATAAATAAAGTCGTCAACAATGGGGTTTTTTCGCGGAAAAAATTTTTGAGTAGTTGTTAGTGTCTGATCGTAGACAAAAATTGTTAAAAACATATCAGTTTAATTATTATATATATTGGAAACGTTTGCCTGGCGAAGGACCTTTATGAACCATATAATGAATATACACGCACGGATGTCATTTCTTATTAAACTAATTGCTCACTACGACCCCTAGTGGCGGGCGCCTCTCTTTCCTGTTCCTCGTTCCGCTGTGCTTCCCATTCAAAAGCAACAGCAGAAGAAGCAGCAGCAGCAACAACAACAGCATAAGAAACAACAACAACGACAACCGAAAGTCATTCCCCGTAACTTAGGCCCCGCGACCACGGGTATCCATGGAAACGCTCCAGGCCCTGGAGCCTCACCGCCTGCTCAACGTGAGTAGGCCCACACACCGAAGAGCCCACCGCACCCCGAAGCCTCGGTCTCGCCTGGATCGGCTGCCGGGATAGGCGCGTGGGGACCCAGGCGGGTGGTGTGAATACGCCGCTTAAACCTGGTTGGGCTTTGAGACTGATACGGGAGCCGCTGGGATAATCGCCGATGTTACGCTTCGTGTAACAACGTAGTCCCCCCCCCCCCCTTTCTTCGCCGATTCAAATGCTGGATGAAATAACATCTCCACACATCCATAATAGAGGACTTGTTTCGGGTTCGATCGCGTTAAACCCGCCACCACCCGACACGGCCAAATAGTAAGGTTTTGTCACTTAAACAAAACGTTCCGATTCGTTGCTTGTAAACAGCACTGACCGGTCGTGTAGTAGGAGAGTAAACCCACAACAACATTTTACAATTGGAGTACGACGTTTCGCCAGCAATCACAACCAGCAATTGCAACCGGCATCATCAGGCGGATAGCCAGAGAGAGTTGTGGAGAAATCCTCCTGCTGTGTCGGTCTTAAATAGACACGGGATGGGGATGAACGTGACGTTGCCCCTTGTGAGCTGATAATCAATTTCAAGTTGAATTTATTTCAGTTTCATTTATCAGGAGGTATAACCCTGCGAGCCATGCGGCTTTTTGATTCTTGGTGCAACCGCAAAAAAAACCAGAAACACGAACAAGTTACATCTTAAAGTGACTACACGCAACAGAAAAAAACAGAAACACGAACAAGTTACATCTCAAAGTGACTACACGTTACAGAGAAATCCTGGAAGAAAACAGCAAAAAATCTTCCAGGAAAAAACACCGAATATTCAACGCTTGTGTGCAAAAATCCCAGTGGGATGCAAAGTCAAACAATAACAAGCATAAGACAATTTAGATTAAAGTTAGCAGTCTTTAACTCTGTACCACAACAAACAAATATTATATTCTTGGTTCTTTCGGGAAAGTCACGTAGAAGGGAAACAATAACATAATAATGTTGTGGTTTTCACACCTGATGATGATTGCTTGTGTTGCAGTCGAAACGTCGTGAGAATTTTATTGTTTTTTATTTTTATTATTTTATTGTTTCCCTTCTACATGACTTTACCGAAAGAACCAAGAATATGAATCCCTGCAGTCACGAAAGCTTTAAATCAAACAAATATTGCTTAACCAAAACGTGTTCGAAATCACCAAATTAAAGCTATAAAAAACAATGTAACAGTGATTTGAAGCTTTCACGACTGCGGGGTTCCATACTCTTTGGTTCTATCGGTAAAGTCACGCAAACTTTACGTGATTTTACCGAACGAACAAAAAGGCTTGCAATATTGTGAAAGCCAACGTGTTAAAAACGAACGTCTCCACGCCGGATGTGACCCTAGGGGACTAATGTATTTGTTGTGCAAGACTTTTTGTCGTCGTTTGTGCTTTTAAAAAATATATATATTGTGATGCCATTTCTAACATGTGTTAATGCGAGATTTTGGCTTGATAGAAGTGTTTTCATTTGGTTGGTCGTGGCTGTATACGGGATTTGGCCCTTGAGACGACACGGATAGAACGGTTGGATACGTACGGCGCAAAAGAAGTTCAACAGACATACGTCCGAATCAGAATATTTTGTACGGGAGAAATCCTATGAGCTCTCAAGCGTTTATGGGATGCTATTAGAATGAATGACGCTATATAAAATGAAAGTATTATTGTTATGATGGGTCATTCAATTAAGTGTCCATTCGAAACTCGCAATTGTTACAGCAGCGGATATCACGCAGAGCTACATCTTGAGGTGACTCCAAGCGACCTCTGGTCCACAATGCAGAGGGGCTAACACTTTCTCACGCATGACGGTCAAACTGATACCCTTCAGAATCTTTATCAGAATCTTTGTTTAGACTGGAGGAATCCGATTAGCTATGAAGTGCTTTTCACAGGTGTCCAGTATGTGACCAGAGGTCGCTTGAAGAGACCTTAGGAGGTAACTCTGTGATATCCGCTTCTGCGGGCCGTTCTCTAATACGAATAAGGGTCACACCGCTAGACCAGTATGGACGCCTGTGAAAATTAATTATCGGGAGCAGGAATGTATCCAAGGTAAAACGCAGGAATACATTTTAAAGTGATGGGTTATTTTTGTGCAGTCAATGGATGCTGAGACAATACACTATCAGCTTATTTACAATTGTGTAATTGTTGCAAAGCGCCTTGGAATTATATTAGGCGCGTTATAAATCTGTAAAAGATAACTAGCTACACCTTGCGAACCCAGTTTACGCTCTGGCTCTCGGCGGTGCGAGCTCCACGCTCTTACTTCTGAGGCCCCACGCGGCCACCTCTCAGACTCGTGTTCTTTGTGTGTTTGTCTCAAGGTGCCACCAACAATCTACTATGTGCCGGACTTCTTGTCGCACGGCGAGGAGGAGATGCTGCTGAGAGAGGTGACAGACACGGGGCTGCGAACGAAACTCACCTAAACTAAAACTAAACTATTTTTTTATTTTACACGGTAAGGCCCATTGAGCTATGTAGCTATTTTTTTTTTTTACAAGCGACCTGACCACAAATTATAGCTCAACGAAGTGGGTTATTACGTGTAAATTTATAGCAGCCAAATACTATTAATGCGTGTTTTTAAATGAGGAGGGAAAAACCGGAGGACCCGGAGGAAAAATCCATGCGACCACGGGGAGAACATGCAAACTCCAAAAATAAAGGCATCAGGGTCGGGATCGAACCCATAACCTCCCGTATACCGGGCGAGGTAGTTAACATCTCACCAACGTTTTTCCCTTACCATCGTCACAGCTTCGTAGCGACCTCATCACTATTCCTGTTGTCGGGAAATGACCGCGTGATTTGCAGTCCTCACTGTATGCTCCGCCTCGTCCTATCTGGATCACATCTTCATCACATCATCACAACCTCATCGAGCACTCGGTAACTCATCACCTCATTGGAAACTCATCACATCATCAAAGCCCGCACGGTATAGCAATGAACCGTCGGAGGCGGGTCGCAACCTCATCACGAACGGATCATAAACTCTTCACAACCTCACTATAAACCATTGCCACCACCCTCATCACAGCCTCATTGCAATCCTCATCACAACTTCATGAGCTCGTCACAACCCGTTTCACGACGTCATCAGAAATGGACCACAGCCTCTGCTCTTGTTGCAGGTGTACAAAGCGCCCAAAACCAAATGGACGCAGCTGTCTGGACGTCGGCTGCAGAATTGGGGTGAGGACCCTTGTCATCATCGTCGTCATCGTCACCAACGTCAACATTATCAATGGTTTTTCCACTGCTGGATGGCTTCATCACCATCAGCAGCAGAACTAGTCAATCCACAATGCCGGATGAAAGCTTCTCCAAGCAATTGTCCATTCGTCTTTCCTGGTCTGGCAGGGCCACAAAATCGATCTCACTCCTGCACACAAATGATCTTTATCACCGCATAATATGTGCATGCACACGTACACACGTTTTTATGTGTCGGCATACAATCTGCAAATTGTTCGAAAAAAATCAAGCTTCAATCTGAAACTCATCCGCTCGTAAATACGCTTATTGCTGCTGATGGTGACCACGACGGTTATAATGTAGATGATGTGAATAAATATGGTGGTGTTGATGAGTACGATGATTTTTAACATGATGATTATTTTGATGATGCTGATATTAATATGAAGTTGATGATGTGCATAATGTTGACAACGATATTGACAATGATGCTGTAAGTGATGCTGTAGGTGATGATTATATAATAATGTTGGTGATGGTGGTGTTGACGACGATGTTGATGATGATGATGTTGATGGGGTGCAGGGGGCCTGCCGGACCCACGGGGGATGCTCACGTCCCCTCTGCCTCCCTGGCTCGCCCACCCGGCCTCGCGCCTCTCTTCCCTCGGCCTCTTTGACGGTCGCCAGGCCAACCACGTGCTGGTTAACGAGTACCGCCCGGGCGAGGGCATCATGGTGAGAGCCCTTTCTCTCGTGTGGGTGTGTGCGCGTGTGTATGGTGAGCGGTGGCGCAACGGTTAGCGCATTGCGCTACTAAACCGGCGAGCCAAGTTCGATTCCTGCTCACGGCCAACACCGCTGACGATTATCTGAACTGGTCCTGGGCCTCCTCTAGATCGACTCAGCCTCAAATGAGTACCCGGTGCAGTGTGTAAACATCAGCACTGGGAAGACCGAGGCGGCCGAGCGTGGTGCTGGCCACCCATCCTATAATGTGCCATGCCAGCAATCGTAGGTGCTCACGAACAGCACTTGCCACAACATTCTGTGAAATGCTACACGGGGGATCTTTTTGTCTCGTCTTTTCCCAGCCTCACGAGGACGGGCCGCTCTACTACCCCACCGTGACGACGCTCAGCCTGGGCTCCCATTCCGTGCTTGACTTCTACCCCACCGTGCGCTCCACTCAGGTCCGCACACACCCTAAGCCGCTGCCTCCCTCCCACACCCCGCTAACCGCAAGCTGCAACATAACCTACAGCTGGGGCAGTCAGCCCATTGCTTGCGCAGTCAATTACAGTATTCCCTCGTTCTTCACGAACTTGATATCTGCGGTTTTGGCTCTCCGCAAATTGCATTTCGGACTCCACACGACTGTTTCGAGAGAGAGAGGGAGAGAGAGAGAAAGACAATGATGAGATAAAGTGGTGAGAGAGAATGTGATGAGGGAGAATGTGATCACTGGAACGTATCCCTCGCAAAGAGCGAGGGAATACTGTACTAAATTGTTACAGGCCAGGATCATGATTTAACTGAAGTATTCTCGTTTGTATTAGTGTTGACTTGTAATGCTTGTCATGTTTGTCTCGTTTGTGTCCTCTCATGTGTATTGTTTTGTTGTCTCGATCATATCATCGGACTAAAGGTGACATTTGAATTTAATTTATGGCAAATGTAAACAATCGATTGTCAACACACGCAGCATGATACAATTTTCTTGAGCTTAAGAACTGACGTTAATCCACGAATCGTTTCGTGACTCGTAACAATCGACTTAATTCAATGAAGTCTGGGCTTGATTTCAGCCTGCCCAACGACATGGAAACCTTTCCACGCCTAGCATGCCACATCCAGTATACGGCTCACTATGAGTGAGCCTACTAGTCACGTACCCATTATAGCTTACGTGCCTATTAGTCACGAGTCTGATCTAGCCGACCTGCCACCCACAAAATATTCCGTGAGATATCGAACCCTGGTTGAACTGATGCATCTTCATCGCACACCTTCAACCCCCATTTCTCCATCCTCGCCGCCACCCCGTCCTCCAGGAGCCCGACGGTGACCCTGAGTGCCCAGCCGCTCGCTCGCCCGTGTTCAGTCTGCTGCTGGACCGCCGCAGCCTGCTGGTACTGCGCAACTCGGCCTACACGGAACTACTGCACGGGATTAAACCTGTCATGGCCGACGACGTCGCCACCACCGCCGCCGGCGCCGCCAACCTCGCGCTGGTGCCGTGGGCCAATGCCGGGGCCGGTGGGGAGGCGGCGGTGTGGCCGGCCCCGCGCGGCACGCGGGTATCGCTCACTATCCGTCACGTGCCTCGCACCGTGCGCGCACCCGTGGTGCTGACGGGGAGGAGGTGACGGAGGAGGCGGTGGAGGAGCTGACAGAGGAGGATACGGAGGCGACGGAGGAGGCGACGGAGCTCCACATCCTCTGTCCACCTGTTCTCCAGCCCGTGCCGCTCCCATTTAGCTCCCTCTATCCGGCCAAGCAGAATTCTGCTTGGCCATGCGGTGGCTGGGCATGCGGGCTACATGACCCAGCTGACGCAACCTCACCTGTCGGAGAAGTTCATCGATGGGACTGTGTCGAGGTCTTTCGAGGATCTGTGAGCTCCTGATCCAGCCTGGTTAAACCCAAGATGGATTGTGAGTAGGCCACCCTGAATTTTTCAAGCCTGCACAGACGTTCCTGTAAAATTGTCCAAGCTTCTCAAGCATACAGAAGGGAGGGCATAACTGTGACACTGAAGACCTGGACCTTCGCATAAAGCCATAGGCCAGACAGCTTCTATGCAGCGTTACGTAGTTGATGAAAAGATAATTCCGCTAAACTGATTCGAAGTTAAACATCTTGCTGAACTATAGCTGGTAATAAGCATAATGCCCAGGGTGGGGCACTCCTGCACTCTGTACAACTGCCCAATCACCCATGGAGAGTTAAGGGGGGGTGGAGTGTTTGACGATTTAAAATACCCAGGCCGGTGGCTTGTTTTAGTCGGGTCCGATTTTAAGGCTGGTGAACAATTTAATTAGATATCACTCTTTGCTTTTTGACAGAAGTGTTGAGATTTTGTATGGTTGGAACCACGCGGAGAGTCAGAGGAACACATGGATCAGGGAACACACGTGCATCTTGTGAAGTGGGCTTGGTCAGGACACAAGGTGGCTATGGGGGCTGACACCCGACGGATGGGCCTGCTGACAGAGCGGCAGCCAGAGGAGGGAACGCAGACCCCGGATACGGAGCGGTGAGAGCAGCGCTCAACCAGGGCTGATACGAGACTCACTTCTGCCACTGTGCGAGTCCGAGGAGAAACAGCTCGCGTGTGCAAGTCTTGAACGGGAGGTTGTTTGACCGTACTTTACTATGCCGCTCGGTGTGGTTTCATGAAGTGGAGGGGTGGTGGCGGTGTCCAGGACCGTTTGAGGCATTGCTCGCCACCGACGCTCACCGTGGCCGGGAATCTTAACTCGGGTGGTCGAGTTCGTCGCTCGGCACACAATCTACACGGCGCCACTGCTCCACTCCTGTATTCTACCAGAATAAAACCAGTTCACCATTGTATTTTCTCCGTGTGGTGTGCATTTCAGTCGCTTGCAGCCGTGTTATGTGTGCTGTGTCGCCACTGGGACGCCCACGCGAATGGCCGGCTACGCGAACTACAGAAGTCACGCGGTTGCTCGTTGTGAAATGTGTTCGCGCGAAGAGACCGACGTGGCCCATGTGACCAAACCACCCGACGAGGACGGGTCTCGAAAGCTAAGCGGGATTTGAAGCCTGGGTAGCTCTTGAGATGTAGCGATCGCCGTGAATATTGGGAAGTCACTGGGGCTATGCACTTTTACATCTAGATTGAAAGCTCATTTCTTTACAACTGCTTTTTGTAGTTAATTTGTTGTCCTTCCCCTGCACCTGGGATGAGCACGATTGGCTACGTACGGTGCGTAAGAAGTTCAGCATCAGAATACAACGCAGGTGCCATCCATCGGCTGCTGTGGGGCTGGGTTGACTGCAAGTGCAGCGGTGTAGTCCAACGATTGGGCGCAGGTGGTGCTACTGCACTGACTGGCGGGGTGATGAAGTTGGCCTGGGGCAGGGCCCCCCCCCCCCCCCCCATTTCATTCCTTTTCATTCCCCCCTCATTGAATTCACTCCTGGACATCTGTGAAAAAAAGAGCTTCATAGCTGATCGGATTCCTCCGGTCTAATAAGATTCTGATTGTACCAGGAGCTTAGGCCCCAACCACTCGTTACACAGTGTTTGCCGTGTGTTTGATCGTTAAAATAAAGTGGCAGTCGTCGAGATCGGTGCCAGCGCTGGGGTAAAATCGTGGTGGTTCACTCCCCCTCACTAACCCCCCCCCCCCCACCCCCAGTCGAGCGCTATGCAGGCTCGGCTCTGCTTAGCTCCTGAGATTTTCCGGGATTGGGCGCATTCTAGGACAACGAGACACGGTCTGTCCAGGTAAATTTCGGACAGCACTTATGACAGACTCGTGTCCTCCAGAAAAATTAAAAAAACCGCTTTAGATCATGAGCCACGAGATTTTTCTAAACTATTAAACTCAACATTTTTTTTATTTCACCAGGTAAGGCCCACTGAGCGAAATTGCTCTTTTTCAGAAGCGACCTCGTCACAAATGATAGCTCAACAAAGTGGCTTATATTGTGTGACTTTATATCAGCCAAATAATCTAAACGCATGTTTATAAAAGTGGTGGAAAAAACCGAAGGACCTGGATAAAAATCCACGTAACCACGGGGAGAACATGCAAATTCCAAATGATTTAGTTGTTTAGGGTCGGGATCCATGAATTCCTGCACGCCAGACGAGGTAGTTAACATCTTGCAACACCTTGTATGCACAGACAAAAGCTAAAGCCAGATGTTGTGATGATGCCGCCGGTGCCAGAGCGGTCCTTGAAGGACGTGCCACATCCGCGTGACAAAGGGAGAATAGACGTGAAGCCACGTGGTGGTGCTGGTGAGATGGGCAGACGCAGAGGCACCCTCGGGGGAAGAGTCGCCCGCGTGACCTCGTGGAGCCTGACCCCCCAGGTGAGATGGCCACCTGGTGCAGCTGTTCTGTGTTTGGGCATTAGGCGGTGACCATTTTACCTGGGCGTACAAGTTCAATCGGTGGAAGGCAGGGGTCGTCAACCTGCGGCTTTTTTAAGGACTGCTTCGTGACGTTATTTAGAAACACCGCCGGTCTCGTATTCACATATTGAGTTTCTTACCGAATTTCGAGAAAAAATTGCCTCCTTTCGTAATTTTTGTTACCGGCCCCTGGTGTAAGGCCAACAGATTGGAGTCGAGATGGAGACAAAGATCCCCCGTATAGCCTGAATAGACTGTAGGGGCAAGTGCTGTTAGCGAGCACCTATGAAGGCCGGCACGGCACACGAGGGGGTGGGTGGCCAGCACCACGCCCAGCCACCTTTGTCTTCCTAGTGACGATGTTTACACACCGCACCAAGTACGCATTTGAGGGTGAGTCGACCTAGGGGAGGCCCAGGTCCGGTTCAAATAATCGCCACTGGTGTTGGCCGTGAGCGGGAATCGAACTCGGGTCGTCGGGTTCGTAGCGCAGCGTTGCGCTAACCGCTACTACACTACCGCTCCCCACAGATGGAGACGAGATGGAGACGAGGTCTTATCAACACACAAAGGCATTAATTAACACCGAGCGCCAAGCATCCCAGAGGTGCCGGTGGTCAGACTCTACAAGGCTTAGTTATACACAATGAATCACAAGGGGTCCCAAAAGAGCATTTCCCCGGCTCTATGAGCGTCGTATTTAACGATGTGATCCCAAAGGTTTGGCAAACGATCGACAAAGTTAGCCCGGCATCGATGATCCTGTCATTTAGAATGACCGCCGCCTTTGACCAACCCACGGTGAGCATCGTGGTGAAGTATGGTCAAATAACCCCCCCACTTCCCGCACGGCGTGGTGAGGCCCTCATCCAGCAGTGGATTGACTAAAGGGCTGTGCCACGCACTCTGGTGTCCTCTCGTACGAAGCCACAACACCAAACTCTTTGGTTCTTTTGGTAAAGTCAAGTAGGTAGAAATAAAATAAAACAAATCACGACATTTCGATCGCAACACAAGCAATCCTTTTCAGGTGGGACAACCACAGCAAAGAAATGCTGGAGTCTTATTTTATTTTATTTCTATCTGCGTGACTTTACCGAAAAAAACAAAGAGTATGGATTCCTGCAGTCAAGAAAGCTTTAAACCACAACACCAAGTTGTGGAATTGGCCAAACATACAAATGTCAGCAGGGCCCTCTTGAAAAAGAGTGGTTTTGAGACTCAATGACACAGATTTCAACCCTGTATCAGTGTCCAGCTTGTTACAGACCAATTAAGACCTTATTGGTCACCCCGTGCCCCTTATACATCTCAACGTTCATCCTACAAAGCCCCATCACAAGGGAGAAACGCAAACAAATAGACACAACTAATATTTTGCCCGTATTGAAACGGCTGTACGCCGTATGGACCTCAATTTGCATGTACAAGAATACGGGACAAACAGTGTGGGTTTACAGCTGTACAATGAGGACTTGCGCTGGGCCAGAGGTTGGAAACCAAAATAACAAGAAAATTCCTTTAATTAGAATTCGGTAAATAAAAAACACATCTCAATATTACAAGAGCCGAAAAGACAATGTGAACAGGAGGCGGTGGGTGCTTAATAAACACAGTCACTAAAGAGCCGCCGACCCAAATAAAGGTCATTGTTACGACCTCTTCCAAGGCGAATTGCCGGCGTGCAAGAGTAGGCCAAGTGTCTGACCACCGTGGAAGAGTAGGCCAAGTGTCTGACCACCGTGGAAGAGTAGGCCAAGTGTCTGACCACTGTGGAAGAGTAGGCCAAGTGTCTGTCCAGTGTGGAAGAGTAGGCCAAGTGTCTGACCACTGTGGAAAAGTAGGCCACTGTGGAAGAGTAGGCCAAGTGTCTGACCACCGTGGAAGAGTAGGCCAAGTGTCTGACCAGTGTGGAAGAGCAGGCCAAGTGTCTGACCACCGTGGAAGAGTAGGCCAAGTGTCTGACCAGTGTGGAAGAGTAGGCCAAGTGTCTGACCACCGTGGAAGAGCAGGCCAAGTGTCTGACCACCGTGGAAGAGTAGGCCAAGTGTCTGACCACCGTGGAAGAGTAGGCCAAGTGTCTGACCACCGTGGAAGAGTAGGACAAGTGTCTGACCACTGTGGAAGAGTAGGCCAAGTGTCTGTCCAGTGTGGAAGAGTAGGCCAAGTGTGACCACCGTGGAAGAGTAGGTCAAGTGTCTGACCACCGTGGAAGAGCAGGCCAAGTGTCTGACCACCGTGGAAGAGCAGGCCAAGTGTCTGACCACCGTGGAAGAGTAGGCCAAGTGTCTGACCACCGTGGAAGAGTAGGCCAAGTGTCTGACCACCGTGGAAGAGTAGGCCAAGTGTCTGACCACCGTGGAAGAGTAGGCCAAGTGTCTGACCACCGTGGAAGAGTAGGCCAAGTGTCTGACCACCGTGGAAGAGTAGGCCAAGTGTCTGACCACCGTGGAAGAGTAGGCCAAGTGTCTGACCACCGTGGAAGAGTAGACCAAGTGTCTGACCACCGTGGAAGAGTAGGCCAAGTGTCTGACCACCGTGGAAGAGTAGGCCAAGTGTCTGACCACCGTGGAAGAGTAGGCCAAGTGTCTGACCACCGTGGAAGAGTAGGCCAAGTGTCTGACCACCGTGGAAGAGTAGGCCAAGTGTCTGACCACCGTGGAAGAGTAGGCCAAGTGTCTGACCACCGTGGAAGAGTAGGCCAAGTGTCTGACCACCGTGGAAGAGTAGGCCAAGTGTCTGTACAGTGTGGAAGAGTAGGCCAAGTGTCTGCCCACCGTGGAAGAGTAGGCCAAGTGTCTCTCCACCGTGGAAGAGTAGGCCAAGTGTCTGACCACCGTGGAAGAGTAGGCCAAGTGTCTGACCACCGTGTAAGAGTAGGCCAAGTGTCTGACCACCGTGGAAGAGCAGGCCAAGTGTCTCTCCACCGTGGAAGAGTAGACCAAGTGTCTGCCCACCGTGGAAGAGTAGGCCAAGTGTCTGACCACTGTGGAAGAGTAGGCCAAGTGTCTCTCCACTGTGGAAGAGCAGGCCAAGTGTCTGACCACCGTGGAAGAGTAGGCCAAGTGTCTGACCACCGTGGAAGAGTAGGCAAAGTATCTGACCACTGTTGACTTTACATTAAGTGGTGGAAATTCCACATTCCCGTGACGGGACCCAGTCGTATAAAATAACAATTTGCTGCTGCTGTCTCTTCAGCGGTTCCAGGGTTGCATTCTCACAAACTGGTACCAATTTTGACCACCCTGATTATGATTATTGACTAAGATATACCGTAGTGCTTTATAACGTGGGCGGGGGGGGGGTGTCGCGAGTGAATCCTACTCTTAAATACCACGGTGAATGTTAAAAATTTACTTAAAGCTGCAATTTAACTTAATTATTGATAAGTATACATTTAGGGGCAATGCCAAGTGAATGGGGACGCGACTGATACGGCATCGCCGGCCGTCAAAGGCAAGTGGGCACGATTTTTTACACCAAATATTCAACAAACAATATCATAAAGAGCATTACAACATCGACATTATAATGTTAACATTATTATTATTTCGCTGTCTATAGCGAGATAATATATTTGTTTTAATTTTACGCCAGTTTTGTTTTTCTTAAAAAAAATGAGTCCGTGGAGTAAGAAGCCGCGGCGAGGGTGGCTCTGCCCGGCAAAGAGCGCAGGGCTCCGGTAGGGCTCGCTAGCCCAGGCCGGGGACTCGGCCTACTTCTACGGACTCTCACCACATTGGGATTTACGAGCTCCCGAGGCCCGTAGAGGTAAACAACAACAACAACACATTTAAAAAAAATAACGTGTACAACTTGCGTGTCATACTCTGCGGAGTTCGTTTACAATCCGTTGTTAATTGAGTTTGATTGACATAAATGGGCTATGCATGTGCAATGTGTATCTCTTGATTGCGTTATTCATATTGCAATCTGTATGTCACTCCGAATCAAACGTTTTATATTTTAACATTGCCTGTGAAAGACCGTAAAGTTATTTTTTTAAATGATAAAATAGTACAGCTCAGCTTTTTGCGATAGGCAGTTAACTGCCTCAGATAATACTAATAGTAATGAACGATGTGATCAATTAACTATTGCAGTATTTTGAGTGAAAAAAAAAACGATGCAGTAACGTAACGTCTTGTCACATTCTATGAACGTTGTATTTTTGTTGTTATACACATATTTTTGTTGTTATACACATATTTTTGTTGTTGTTGTTGTACCGCCGCGTTTCTGCTACGTAACAATTGCGCTATGGAAGTCAACGGAGACGTCGATTGACAATTTTGATGGGTTCAAAGTCGTTGGTCAAACATAATCCATCGCATCAACGAAGGCGACTTCCCCGAGAAGATTTTAACCCCGGGACCAGTTCAGTCACGTTGGCCCCCCTCTCTCAACAACAAGAGGCATCTCCACTTCACGCCGTACAAATATTGAGTGGTTTGACACTTGTCGGCCACCCGATACACTTGTACATTTGGCCTACAGAAATCTCTACAGTAGAGTCCAGCTGCCGTGGTGTGTCACGGTGGCTAGGAGATGTTAACTACCTCGCCTGGTATGCAGGAGGTCGTGGGTTCGATCCCGATCTTGACGCCTGCTGTATATTTGGAGTTTGCGTGTCTCTCTCTCTCATAATCACCACTGTGGCTAGGAGATGTTAACTACCTCGCCTGGTGTACAGGAGGTCGTGGGTTCGATCTCGATCTTGACGCCTGCTGTATATTTGAAGTCTGCGTCTCTCTCTCTCATCATCACCACTGTGGCTAGGAGATGTTAACTACCTCGCCTGGTATGCAGGTGACCGTGGGTTCCATCCCGACCCTGACGCCTGCTGTATATTTGGAGTTTCGTGTCTCTCGCTATCACCACGGTGGCTAGGAGATGTTAACTACCTCGCCTGGTATGCAGGAGATCGTGGGTTCGATCCCGATCCTGACGTCTGCTGCTGTATATTTGGAGTTTGCGTGTCTCTCTCATCACCATCACGGTGGCTATGAGATGTTAACTACCTCGCCTGGTATGCAGGAGGTCGTGGGTTCGATCCCGATCTTGACGTCTGCTGCTGTATATTTGGAGTTTGTTAACTACCTCGCCTGGTATGCAGGAGGTCGTGGGTTCGATCCCGATTCTGACGCATGCTGCTATATATTTGGAGTTTCGTGTCTCTCTCTCTTGTCATCACCACTGTGGCTAGGAGATGTTAACTACCTCGCCTGGTATGCAGGTGACCGTGGGTTCGATCCCGATCTTGACGCCTGCTGTATATTTGGAGTTTGCGTGTCTCTCTCGCTCCCCGTGGTCGTTTGGATTGTTCTCCGGTTTTTCCCTCCACATTGAGAATCAACATCACGGTCGTAGTATTTGGCTGCGATAATGATAACTCAACTTCGTTGCGATATGGACAACAAGTGACAACTCAACTTCCTTAAGTTGTCATTTGTGGCCAGGTCGCTTCTGAAAAAGCTCAGTGGCCAAAAAACAGTAGTTTTAGTTTAAATAGTTTAAAGATTGAGTGGTTTGCCACTTGTCGGCCACACAATATACTTATACATTTGGCCTAAAGAAATATAGTTGAGTCGAGCTATCCGATTATATAAGTAGTGTAATTGATTACACCCATCGGTTTGATTATTATTTGACTAATCGGATAACGTTAAAATCGTTGGGGTGGGGGGGGGAAGTCTGACCCTTGCTCCCACGTGTGCTACTTTCCGGGAGGTGATGGGAAGTGATGGGCTATCAGAGGGCAATGCAACATAATCGATTGTTTTACTGTAATTCTGTGCTCCTACACCTCTGCTCCTTCTTGCTACTCCTTCACCAACCTGCACTGACCAGCATGGTGAGGTATGGTCATATAACCACCTGAACCCACACGACATGGGGAGGCCCTCATCCAGCAGTGGATTGACAAAAACGGATGTACATGTTCTGGGTGTATGTATGTATTTATGTTGAACTTCTTTCGCACCGTACGTTGTCCATATCTCACTGTTCTGTGGAGTATTTGGACAGCTGGCATTTAAACTCTATGAATCCTCCCTGTATTGTACGTTATCCCTGTATGATTTTTTTTAAAGAAGCCAAATGATATTATGTTTTTGTTCAGTCGTTGGTGACCAGTCCAAAACCATCAGCTCCATTACACTGAGTAATCACAGGTGACTGGATTCAGTGCTCGACACAGCCATCATGAACTTACATCCTTTGAAGTCATTCGGTGACTTCCCGTCAATTTGGACATCTTTAAGAACACCCTGAGAGCTTAACGTTCACAGGGGAGGGTTTAGCACTCCCCTTTTCAAGGCTTTTATCACTCAAGAATACAAACCTTGACTTCCTTCCCCAAATTTCCAGGAAAAGGTCCTGAGGCTCATTGTGACCCACAATAATGGACCCTTCAGAAATCTGCCACGCCGAGAGTGGTAGCGTGAGAGCCTTCCGAATTTCACTGAGCCGCAATATTGGACCCTTTCATAAACAAAAAATAAAGCGTGCTGATAACTGCAGGCCGACTCTCGCGTGTTTGTCACAGCCTCGAGTTCCATGTGGGTGTATTTTTTCACAACTGATGAATTATTAAGCTATCTGCAGCGTTAGATTTTTTTGGTGGGGGGGGGAGAAATTCAGTCGGTGATGAAAGCGCGATGATGCTCAGCTCAAGCCGCCAGTTGCGTGTTGGGCCGCTGTTATCATCTCGTATTCATTTGAACTCGTTCTCTTAGAAACTCAAATGTGTCCGTGAATCGTACACATACACTGTAGACAGACGTGTACAACAGCTTGTATATGAGAATCGCAACCGGAAATCATCGACGGACCGAAGAGACAGAGGTAAGATAACATTTTTACACTTATGGTCTTAAACCAATGTTATATGTATCTCTACATCCTCTGATGTCATTCCACTGCTGGATCACGCCGTGCGGGTTGTGGGCTTTATTGACCGTGCTTCACCGTGCTGGTGAGCGCAGTTTGGAAGATTGGGGAGCATAGACGTGGAAGCATATGAGCACAGTGCGACAATCGCTTTTTCTACTCTGCCCTCTGCTGCTCACAACGTAGCCTCTGACAAAATCACCCTGAATGTGCCTGATCTCGTCGGATCTGTTTTAAACTAAGCAGGATTGAGCCTGTATAGTTCTTGGATGGGTGACTGTCATGCACAACAGATGTTTCGGCTTTGGGGATACGTGGTAGGTTATGTCCAACAGAGCACCGCCCTGTGAATAAAACATGGGGAATTGGAGATATCACGAACAACTTCTTGTTCTGTGAGATATCACAGAACTGTGAGATATCACAGTTCGGTGATGTGATGTCTTCTTCTGTGGCCCGTTTCCCAACACGCCGGGTTGCACTGCTCCGTGAGGGTTCCAAAAAGAGACCTCATCTCTTTTTGATTTAAAGCTTTCGTGACTGCAGGGATTCATATTCTTTGTTCTTTCGGTAAAGTTTTTTCAAAAAGGTTCTTGCTGTGGTTTTCACACCTGATGATGATTGCTTGTGTTGCAGTTGAAACGTCGTGAGAATTTTATTGTTTTATATTTTTATTATGTTATTGTTTCCCTTCTACGTGACTTTACTGAAAGAACCAAGAATAATAATAAGACCTCATCTCGTTAACGATACCAATTGCACAATTTTGAAAAATGAATTGGACAAGGACAAAACATACATAAGTGTCACTTTGTGGTCAGTCAACAGTGATTGTCCGATGAATATACTGGTCCTTGACATAGGAATGTGGAAAATAAGTGCTCCCTCTGGACCACCAACAGGTGGCACAGTAGTGCGGTTTGCATGGGCTCTGATGCAAGAAGTGAAATTGGGCCCTCTGTCCAATTTTTCTCCCCTTGGTAGCCTAGCGCATGTGCCCCTGTCGCAAAAGGAGAGGAATACGCACTACGTCCTGCATTTCGTTCTCATTCCAGGGCTTCTCCGTTTGCTGAACCCCTTTGCAAGGAAGCATTTGTCGATCTGCAACTGAGTCGCAACAGACCGGACCTCCCATTGTCTACCACCACTGCTGCCACAATGGAAATGGCATCGTCGCCAGCAGCCACATTGCCCATCTCCTTACAGCCGCACTCCCTGGTGGCAAAGCAGCAGCAGCAGCAGGACAGTCCCAACTCCCCTTCGGATTCATCCCCTGACCTGGGCGTGATCCTGGTGGGCGCCGATGGCGTTGGCGGCGACGGTGGCGGTGGTAGCCTCGTCACGACGCCCGAGGGACCGTGGGCCCGTCCAGCCGAGCGACGGCCCCTGCCGCGCTTCCTGAGCACGGACTCAGGCGTTGAGTCGCCGTCGTCCGACGCTGAGTCTCCCTCGCAGGTAGGGTCGCGGTGATGTCGCGACGCTCGGATGCGTCGCACAATATGAGGTCCACTGGTAATTGCGTCGTCCGTTTTTGCGTGATATCTTCATATGGTGATTAACGTGGCGAATTAAATGTTTATTTTTGTTGTTGTATGTATGGGTTTTTTTTTTTAATTGCAACAAAACGCGAGCCCGGTACAATACGCCAATCGACATTGGTGGCGGGGGGACGGGGGGACAGAAACTCCGAGAGAGTTACAATTCGGCATGACGGGACCGTAGGAGCATTAAATGTTTCTTAAATACTTTATCTGAACTCCTTCAGGACTTCTGACCAGCATGGCAGAGTTGGCTAAATAAAATCCTCAATAAGAGCTGACAATATTAATGAACTAACGATAATTAAAGTGCACGATGGGAAATAAAGTAACAAAAATAGACACTGTTTTCTGGATGATAAGATGATCTCTGCCAATACAGTTACAGTATACAAATGTGGTCATACACGCAACACAAACCTACCAGACTATAAGGTGCACCCCCAATTCTTGATTTAAAATACAGAGGAGCATGGTATTACCAACTACATGAGTGCTTTGTAATACGATTTATTGAGTAATTGACGGCATGGAGATGATATGATGACGCAATTTTCTGAAAGCAAGTGCAGTATAAGTGTTGTAGATTGTAAAGTTGCAATGATGAGAAGATATACGGCAGGCTAACGTTGAGTGAACTGTCGTCGAATAACTTTAAAAAGCAATCTTTATTCGTACACGAACTGCATCAAAGCACAAAAAACAAGACGATAAATTTGGTGGAGTACGATCACACAGTTATGGGAAACTGACATCGCGATAATCGTCACGAAATTTCATCTCGTATCGTGTCGTGAGAAATGATATCGCGGTGACCCCTACCCGCAGGCGAGCGCGATTCTCAAGCCGCGCCGAGCGTCGATCGCGGTGGTGGACCGCGTGAAGCCACAGGCCGGCGGGAGCGGCTGCCCTTTCCCCGTTGACCCTGCACCATCGGCCGTCGCGGTAACAATCCGAGGAGAAGGAGACGGTGGTGACGGCTATGGTGGCCTCCGTCCGGCGCCGGCGGCCGGTGCCGGAGCGCGGTTGGACAAGTCGGAGATGGAACCGAGTTGCCTGGCGGGCGAGGGCGGTGAAAGGGAGCTTGTGGAGAGGGGTCGCGGAACCACGGCGGTGGTGGTGGCGGCAGGGGTCGCCTGCTGTCCGCAGGTCAAGCGGCCGTGCAGCCTGGCGATGGAGCAAAGCGCCGCGCAGCGCCAGACAGGTGAGCTTGCCTTACCCAGCGTGTTACCGTGTTCTCCAGATTATAATGCACACTTTCAAACTCTCCCCCCCCCCCGCACCCACCTCCCCCTGCATTTTAATGCCAGTGGCCAGGTTGCCTCAGCGGTCGAGTGAGTGGCTCGCAAAGGTTGCAAGTTCAAATCCTGGCTTGGGGTTTGACTTGGTCAGTCACCCCCACGGGGTTGGTAAAATGAGTAGCGCTCAGTAGGGGATGTCAGCAGTGGTTCTCTTAAGGATGCACTTGTCCCCGCCATAGAAAGTCACTTCAATTTTTCGTTACTATTTTAAAGCGTACATTTTCGGTCGGCGTGTGTGACCAGATTGGTATAGCTTTGTTGACACCGGGGTGCATCTTCCTTTCCAGAGCATCTTATAATCCGACGAGTACGGTGCGACTGTGCGACCGCAAAACGACTCGGCGGCTTAGCTATCGAGGAGTGTGCAGGCACTGCAACTGGACGGGGCGGGGGGCACAGGCCAGAGCAGCCCAGGTCCTGGGCTAAGGGGCCCCATGTTATTCGTTGCGCCAGGGCCCATGCCAATCACTCAAGTCCCTTGCCTTCAAGTTAAATAAAGTCCAATATCCATAATAAAGAATATTTTGGGATTAGATCGCATGAATATAAATGTGTCATTAAACCCGCCATCACCCGACACAGCCAATTAGTAAGGTTTGTAACGTAAACAGAACGTGCCAATTAATTGATACTTCAGCACATCGGTGTGATGGAGAGTAAATCCACAATATTTACAATTCGAGCACGACGTTTCCAGCTTCATCCAATATGAGTTATAATCTTGAGAGGTTGCAGGGCGGCTCAGGGGCCAGAGACATTAAGCCAGCACTGCTTAGGTCTTGTGTTTGAATCTGGGTTTCAGCCATCATCGTCGTCATCAGCCACCGCTGTATGTGGCCTCCCAAAGCTGTCACCACCCCACACGGTCTCGTAAGGCACACAAGCCGACGCGGTTGCTCCATCTCTGCGGTGGATTTCTTCTTGGGAGTCTTCTCCCTCCTTTGACTGCCATGCTGTCACAAGGCTCGTTCGTCAGCCACCCTCCCTTTCAAGACAACAATTGTGTCCTGCCAAAGCCCTATTACTTTACCGAACAATGTCTAATTTTCGTTTGTTCTCTGATCCATGTGTTCTAAGCATGTATCTCTCCTCTGCATATTTTCAGATTGTGTTCTATTTGTATTTGTCAAATGTCTTCAAATTCATGTCAATGCAGGTATGCAGCATTGATTCAACATTCTCTTCTTTGCTACCGCTACTATTGTTACCGCTCCTCCTCCTGCTGCTGCTGCTGCCTCCGCCAGCAGGTGATGGTGGCGGGGAGGCCCCCCCCGGGCGCGTGGGGGGGTCGCGCGCGCTGCGCTCGCTGCACCTGGTGCGCTCCGTGCGGGACTCGTGGCGTCCCGACGACGGCGCAGCGCTGCTCGCCTCCCCGACGCTGCTGCGCGCCCCGCGCTCCCCCGAGCCGCGCTCCCCCGAGCCGCCCTCCTCGGTGACCTCCTCGGACGATCCCGCAGCTCGCGGGCCGTCGTCTCCACCGTCGGCGCCGCCTGCGGCTTCGGCGCCGGCCCCCGCCGGCTATAGCCTCCTGCGCGCGGAACGCGAGGAGGAGCTCGACAGCGAACTGGTCCTCGACGGCTCCTCCTCCTCCTCCTCCTCGTCATCCTCGCCTTCGTACGACGGCGAAGACGACCGAGGCTTGTGGGGCTCGGCCCGCCGGTTCGGCGCCGGCGGGCCCTGGGCGCGCAGGCACACGCTGCCGGCGGCGTGGCCCTCGTCACGCGGCCTGCCGGCGTTCCCCCTGGACGGGGCCGGCAGGGCCGCGGGGGCCGGGCGGGTGAGGGCTCGGCGGGGCGACGCCGCGGGGAAGGGTGGATGCGGCGCGAGGGGCGTGGTGGCGACGGCGCCCCCCCGGCTGACGGCGCGCGTGCCCCCCACGCCCGTGGCCCTGCTGAGCCTCCTGTGGCTGGGGGGTTTCCCCTCGCTGCTGTGCCTGCCCGCCGTGCTGGCCGCGGGGATGGGCCGACGAGCAGGTAACTACTGCGGGGTGGTGGGCGGCGAGGTAGAGGGTGAGTGGGTTGAGGGCCGGGGGAGAGAGTGGGTTCATTGGTGGGTGGGTGGGAGTGAGGTGGTGGGCAGGTGAGTAGTTGGGAGAGTGGGTTGATGGGTGGCTTGGTAGGTGGGTGAGTGGGGCGGGAAGTGGTTGAGTGAGTAGGTTAGTAGGTGGGATGGTGGGTAACCAGGTGAGTGGGTGGCTGAGTGGGTTTGAAAGGTTGAGTGATGGGGTGAGTGGATTAGTAGATGGGTGAGTAAATGAGTCAGTGAATGGGATGATGTGTGAATGGGTGAGTGAATAGGTCAGTGGGTTGGTAGGTGGGTGGGTGGGCGGGCGAGTGCATTGTTTAGTGGTTGGTTGAGTGAGTGGGTGGTTGAATAATTGAGTAGGTGAGTGAGTGGGTGGGTAGACATGTCAGTGTGTGATTGAGGGAGTGGAACGGTAGGCGGGTAGGTGAGTGAGTGGGTGGTGCACGTGCTGTTAACTGCACAGACCTGAATCCCGCTAAGTATTTGAGTGGTGAATCGTACATTTTTCTATTACAGGAATTGATGTCATGCGTCACAGTGCTTTCATTCTCAAGTGTGATGATGCACTTGTGCACACACACATGCTTCTGTTGTCAACCCACTGCTGGATGAGCACCTCCCCATGCTGTGCACACCGTGGTGGTTATTTAGCCATACTTCACCATGGAAAAGACGTAGCATTGAATGATGTAACGATATATTTGACTGCACTGCACTGTGCTGATATTGTAGAACCGCAGGGTTTAACACACGTTATCCATGTACTCGCATTTATGTGCAATATTACGGGGTGGGGTATTTCGCCTTTACAATAACCCCAAAAATGTTGTGTTGATCAGATTGCAGGTCTTCTCCCATATGAATGTTAGCCAGTAACATTTGTTATTTAGACAAAGCAACCTTGTCATCTTCACTGTCTGATCAGCAAAGCGTGGATGTGGTTATGCCACTGTACGAATGCCACTGAATGTGCTTATTATTTTTGGCAGGAGCTATGCATTAACATTGTGTGATCCAATGCGGTTTTTTTTTTAGAAAATGTTCATTTAAGTGTTTGTTCACGCTTGAGTGAATTATTTTTTTTACAACGTGATGTCCCGTCCCATACAAAGTTTTCTTGTCGAAGCAAACGATGCTGGCAACATGAATGTGTCGGAATGCCCATCCCAAAACGTCTCAACAGTACATTGCAAAAATATAGTCAAACGTCTCTTAAACATTGTAGTTTATTTTGCATGGAATGGATACTCCCATCTTCGTGACGCGGCCCCAGTGCTAGCGCGTTGCAGAGGTTCGCGGTTCGACTCCAGCAGGTCGCCCTGGTTAATGCCGCGCGCGTGTGTGTGTTAACCGTAACAAAACACGCGTCGTCTGCTTCACAGTGGCCTTTAAAGATCCCGTGACATCATTGGAAACGAGTAGGCCATTGTAGCTCAGTGCGCCTGACCTGCCAAAATAAAATAATTTCACAGTTTATATATTTTTTTAATTTTGTTACTTTGCGCTGCATTTTTGTTTAGCTGTTTTTTTGCACGATTTACTACAAAGAGGGCCCATTTCCCAAAACGTCGCCTGTCATATAATTCTAGCACAGTGTTACTGACGTACGTGTTGAGTTTTTCTTTTATGTCATGCATAGACTCACTTTCGTCTGGTTCACATGTGCTTTTGTTCCTCTCCTTCGCATTTTCCTATCGTGAAATCGTCGTTCCCAGCTGTCCCTTGCAATCAAGTATGAGCTCCCACGTGTGATGATGATGATGATGAGGCTGATGTTGATGGCGATGGGCCTGTCATGGTGGCACGCACTTGCGGTGGTGGCGCGGCCGAGCGGTCGCGCGTTCCCTGGCCGTTTGCCGGGGTTCTACGCTTCGGGCACAGTGGTCAGCCCGGTTGATACTGCGGGTGCATGAACCGCAAATAAACACGCCGTCAGCTTCACGGTGGTTGTTTTTTGTCAAGAAGCATAAACCCGTCGCGCGAACTCCGGCAATGCTCGCAGCCGCTTTTGGCTGGCCACTGAACAAAGACGGTCACCGCACCGCGCGCTTTCGTCTGGAACGCTCTTTCTTCCGATATTGGGCAGACGCTGGGGCTATGCACTTTTAAATCATCTGGATTGAAATCTCGTTCATTTCGCACTGCTTCTTGTGCGCAATTTGTTGTCCTTTCCCGTGCACCTCCGATTAGCACGGTTGGCTATGTACGGTGCAAAAGGAGTTCAGCATACTGTACATTCTGTATCCCGTGATGTCATTCGAATAAGAGTAGGCCATGTGTGCCAGCGTCACGCTCCAAATTGGACACGTTTGAAAATGACATGCAAACGACCTTAGGGGCAGTCCATAAATGACGTCACACACCTGGGGGGGGGGGGGGTCAGATATTTGTGACGATGTGTGACGAGGGGGGGGGGAGAATTTGAGAAATGTGACGTTACATCGAAATGCGCAACTTTAAATAAATATAAACAACACGTTCTACTTAATTAAATAGACGTTTTAATAAATGTTTTCTCCTACAACATCAGAGTGCAGCGCCACATTAAATACGCACTACAATGACAATCGTTTAAAGCGATTTGAAGCATGCTTTATTTTCAAAATGGAAATGTTTTGGGAGGGGGGCGGGCAGAGCTTTGTGACGTCATATTTGAGGGGGGGGTCTGACTTTTTGTGACGCCGTGTGACGAGGGGGGGGGGGTCAAAAATCGTCAAAAATCGCATGACGTCATGTCATTTATGGACGGCCCCATATCCCGTGATGTCATTCGAATACGAGTAGCCCATGTGTGCCAGCATCACGCTCCAAATTGGACACGTTTGAAAATGACACGCAAACGACCTTATCACAAACCGTGTCAACCCACACTGTTTGTCCCTAATAAAGGTGTTTGGGTTAGATCGCGTTATTTATAAATGTGTCGTAACCCTCCACCACCCGACACGGCCAGTCAGCAAAAAAGTGTCACGTTGACAAAAGACAAATAGTTCACTACTTTAGCCCACCGGTGTGTTGAAGAGTGAATCCACAACATTTACAGTTTGAGTACAACGTTTCGCTGGTAATTACATCCAGCATCATCGGGCAATTCGTCAGAATGGCAAAGCCCTCACTTGCTCCCGGTCTTAAATAGAGCAGCAGGGTGACGTCATCATTTAACTCATTCAGGTGCAGTGATTTGAGGCGGAGGGGGGGTATTGTAATTATATAATCGATTGGTAATCAGTCAGTGGTTATGATTAGTAATGAGTTGTAGATTAGTAATTAGTTATAATGTGTGTTATTGTGATTATATGCTACGTTATTAATCCATTAATTAGTATGTGTTTCCCCTATAAGGAATTGTAATATGTATAATTTAATAATACGCTTCCAGGCCGCGCTAAGCCTGTATCTGTCAGAGCGATTAAAGTTATTTCTATTTCTCTCAATTTCAATGGATTCTCTAATTAGTCTTTGCCAGTAATAATTAGTTTTGCACAACACTTCAACGTTATCAAAATCAATTGAGTGTCCTTGTTGACAAGCATGTTCTGCCACTGCCGACAGTGGTGTTTGAGATAATTGAATTTCTTTGGTGTTCTTTTAGTCTTATGCTGATGTTACATCCCGTCTGTCTCATATAGCATCTACCACATAAAAAATGAATCCAATATACACCTTCTGTTGATAATTTAGGTAATTCGTCTTTAGTGCAAGATGCTAGTTTTTTTTAATTTTGTGTACTGTACCAAATCTTACTGTAATGTTTTGCTTTTGCAAAACATGGGCTAATTTGTCAGTTCCTCCTGAGATATATGGAATTTTTATTGTTTTAACAATCTGATCGCCTTCAGCAGTGTTGCTTTGCGATCGTGATTTGGCATTCAGTGCTCTGTTAATTTGAGTATTATTTTAGCCATTTTGTGGTAATGTTTCTTTAACGTGTTTGATCTCTCTCACTAGACTTTCACCATCTGACACTGCTTTAGCCCGATGTATGGAGGATTTCTGAGCTGGATGATGATGCGAATCTGCATTCAGATAGGCATCAGTGTGCGTTTGCTTTCTGTAAACGCTGTGTGTTATTTTACCGTTTAGGCCATGTCCAAGCAAAATATCTAGGAACGGGAGTGTGTTATTCACCTCCATTTCCATGGTGAACTGGATGGCCGGGTTTTGTGCATTGAGATGATTTAGAAAATCATTAAGTGTATCTTTACCATGTGGCCAGACAACCAAAGTGTCATCCACATATCTAAACCAAAAATATGGTTTTAATGTGCTCGAGGCAAGTGCTCTCATTGAGATGATTTAGAAAATCTTTAAGTGTATCTTTACCATGTGACCAGACAACCAAAGTGTCATCCACATATCTAAACCAAAAAGATGGTTTTAATGTGCTCGAGGCAAGTGCTCTTATTTCAAAGTTTTCCATGTACAGATTTGCTATAGCAGGAGATAAAGGAGAGCCCATTGCTACTCCTTTCTTTTGTTATCTCAAACACAACTGTAGGCAGTGGCAGAACATGCTTGTCCACAAGGACACTCAATTGATTTTGATAACGTTGAAGTGTTGCGTAAAACTAATTATTTCTGGCAAAGACTAATTAGAGAATCCATTAAAATTTAGAGAAATAGAAATAGCTTTAATCGCTCTGACAGCTACAGGCTTAGTGCGGCTTGGAAGCGTATTATTAAATAATACATATTACAATTCCTTATAGGGGAAACACATACTAATTAACGGATTACTAACGTAGCATATAATCACAATAACACACATTACAACTAATTACTAATCTACAACTCATTACTAATCATAACCATTGACTGATTACCAATCGATTATATAATTACAATACCCCCCCTCCGCCTCTAATCACTGCACCTGAATGAGTTAAATGATGACGTCACCCTGCTGCTCTATTTAAGACCGGGAGCAAGCGAGGGCTTTACCATTCCG